GGTTCGTTTTGCGCTGCCTGGAGTTAGGAAAGGCTTTATCAAAAACAAGGCACTTGAGCTGGTCCTAAGTAAAAGCTCTACAAGGAAGAAGTGGGGTGGGATGGTGGGGGGGGGTGGCGTGTGTTGGCATTCCAAAGATAAGGACAGCTGGTCCCGAGGAAGGCTCTCACTAACTTAAAGACTGACTCTCACTAACAATGAGATAGTGCGGACGAAGGGAAACAGGCCTCTTTTTGGAGCTCGACTTTATTTTAGAGTATTTGCACAGGCACCCAGTCTCTCAGTGGGTGGCCATAGGGGTTGGGCTCTGCCTGTGTCGCTACCACAGACAACAGAACTTAATGATTTGAGGGTCTTTTTAGGCACAGCAGAGTCTGGGACCCAGCAGTGACACAGCTGGGGAAGGCTGACGATGAAGCTGGTGTGCAGTGGGGTTGTGAACGTAGACTGTCCCGGGAGCAGGAGGGCGCGGCAGGTGGGCGACCAGAGGCAGCCGCCCTGGCTGTAGTGTGGCAGGTCCTCTAGCGCAGGGCTGATGGCACTGGGCTGACCACCACCCACAAGGCTACGCCAGTATTAGGGCACAAAACGGCAGGATTCAGACTGAAGCTGAGGTGAGAGGAGGGACCAGATGTGGTAATATGTTGTTCAGTTGCCAGGTCATGTCCGACTCTGTTTCCCCACCTATTGCAGCACACCAGGCTCCTCTGCCCTTCACCATCTCCCTCAGTTTGCTCAGACGCCTGTCCGCTGAGAGTCAGTGATGCCATACAATCATCTCATCCTCTGTTACCCCTTTTCTTCCTGCCCTCAGTCTTTCCCAGCATTAGGGTCTTTTCCAATGAGTGGGCTCTTCTCATCAGGTGGTCAAAGTATTGAAGCTTCAGCTTCAGCATCAGTCTTTCCAATGAATATTGAGGATTGATTTCCTTTAGGATTGACTGGTTTGATCTCCAGCACAATTCGAAAGCATCAATTCTTGGGTGCTCAGGTGCTCAACCTTCTTTATGGTCCATAAAGTCACATCTATACATGACTACTGGAAAAGCCATAGCTTTGACTATACAGACCTTTTTTGGGCAAGTGATGGCTGTGCTTTTTAATACGTCTAGGTTTGTCATAGATTTCCTTCCAAGGAGCAAGCGTCTTTTAATTTTGTGGCTGCTGTCACCACTCACAGTGATTTTGGAGACCAAGAAAATAAAATCTGCCAGTTTCCACTTTTCCCCATCTATTTGCCATGAAGTGATGGGACTGGATGCCATTTTAGTTAGTTGGATATTGAGTTTTAACCCACCTTTTTCACTCTCCTCTTCTATCAAGAAGCTCATTAGTTTCTCTTTGCTTTCTGCCATTAGAGTGGTATCATCTGCATGTCTGAGATTGTTGATATTTCTCGCAGCAATCTTGCTTTCAGCTTGTGATTCATGTAGCCTAGTGTTTTGCATAATATACTCTGGCTGTAAGTTAAATAAGCAGGGTGACAAGATACAGCTTTTGACATACTCCTTTCCCAATTTTGAACCAGTCCTTTGTTCCATGTCCAGTTCTGTTGCTTCTTGACCTGCATACAGGTTTCTCAGGAGACAGGTAAGGTGGTAATATGTAAATTAATAGGACTTGAAAACTGGTTATTTGTAGGACTGAAACAGTTTTAGATATAGACTATGGGGAGATGATGGTCACTTTACTGAAATAGTAAGGGGGCAAATACTACTTTTCGTGTAGGTTTTTTACCAGAAGTTTGTGTTTTTTATGGCATTTTATTTTTTAGAGCAGGTTCAGGTTCACAGCCAATTTGAGAAGGTAGAGATTTTTTCCATATGCCCCCTACCCCTACATGCATGGCCTCCTCCATTATCAGTACCCCTCCAGTGGCCTTCATGTTACGGCTGGTAAACCCATATTGACACTGTCATCTGGGGTCCACAGCTGACATTGGGCTCCCCTCTTGGCGGTGTGCATCTTGTGGGTTTGGATGGCCCGAGGTTTCTGACAGGTGAGTCTGAGAATCCTGGCAGGAATGCAGAGATAAGTAGGTCGGTCAGGACAGGAAATTAAGAGATCCTCCAATCTCTTAATTCAGTTCCATGTAAAACCATGACAGTGGGTAGCAAGGTTGAGGGGTGCCATGGCCTGAGCACTAACTGGCCACACTCCCATCAAATATAGTCCCTGTGGTTGAATGAAAATAATGACCAAACCTGACAGAAGACTATTTTTTTTCAGTGTTTGGGAGCAAATAAAACAGGTCAGAATTACATATTAGATGAGACAGTATGTGAGCTATGATAGCTATGGAAATGCTCTGGAGTGTGTGATTTCATGATTATAACAAAAATTTGATTGTTTTACTTGGAACTTAAATAGACCAATAATGAAAAGTATGCATAAATGAACAAGCATAGGTCTGGACTTGATCTGTGCTATAGTTTGCTGACCCCCTGGATCTAACTGAGATTATCATACCTGTTGCTAAATTCAGGCTGTCTTATCACAGTCTGCCAACAACTGGAGCCTAGGAATAGTTTACCCTACTTGTGGGTTCACATTCTTTAGGTAAGGAATATAAAGCCCCCGCAGCATTAGTGTGCAGTGAGGGCCCCGCCCCCGCCCCGTGCAGTCCACTCCGCGGTGCAGGGCGCCCCCGTGTGAGCTCTGTGCAGACACCGGCTGCACTCGGCTCTGCAGAAGTCTCTGTGGTAGGAATCTTGGCTGCCAGAGCCTCCAATTGTGTGATGAGACCACCAAGTGCAATGCAGGTTGAAAACTGTGCACAACTCTGCACCTTAACCACAGGAACCCTACTGACAAACGTTTTGAGGGTCATTGGTTGACTCAACAAAGCAGAAATGAGCTGCTTTTAAACGTTGGCATCCTCCAAGCTGTTTTGTTTCATTTGTATAGCCTTCTGACATTGTTTTCCTTTGGTTTTCAGGGGTGCCCTGGAAGCTTATGTTCAATCAGTAAGAAGCAGAGAAGGCAAAGAATTTGCACCGGTTTATCCAATAATGGTTCAGCTGCTTCAGAAAGCTATGTCTGCTCTTCAGTAAGAATGTGAAGTATTTCTTAATCTCCATTTTGTGCTAACCCATCCAGGGGTGGCAAATACATACTCTAAAAGACAGCTACCATCTACTGTTTCATAACTATAATTGACTTTTCTCTATTTCCTTATTGACCTCTTTACCTCTTAAGCCCTTCTACCTTAAGTAGCATAAAATGTCAAAATAGATTCGTGATCACCACCTTTAACTCTGCAGAGCTTATTTTTCCAAAAAGATACCAAACTCTTCTCTCCCATTAGGTTTTCCTATGAGCCTGTCTAAAACTTCTTAACCGTCACGCAGTCCCCACAGCTTAAGGGATAGGGTCAAGTTGGTCAATACGCTGCTTCTCCCCAACTGGCATCCTTTCTTGCTGGATAAGTAGTTAGCCCAGTAGTTTCCATTATTTGGCTGCACATTAGAATCACTGGTAGCTTTAAATAATCCTGATGCCCAGTTTGTACTCCATATTAACATGTATGGGGGTAGGAACCATGCATTACTTTTTTTTAATATCCTGAAATGTTTCCAATGTGCAACAGTTTGGGAACCGCTGGCATATCCCGAAGCTGAGATGTAGGGCTCAATGTTGTTTAACCGTGTCTTACTGTATCTTTAATAATAATAAAGTGGTACACTTGCTCTAAGAGCAGACTTTGGGGGCTGTTCTACTTTATAACAGAGATGCCAAGTTAAAAATTAACTTTTACTCTGAAAGGAGTCTTATAAATAGTAATCTGGGTCCTTCTTTCTATTGCCCTTGCCTTGTCATTAACATTTTAAAGTTTAAAATCCCACAAGCCACTTGTTAAATATTTTCCATTTCCTCAATCTATTATTCTGATGACTCATTCATAAAGTTCAGTCAGGATAAACCAGAAGTCAGGGATAAACAATTTTTTTCATTTTATTTGAAATAATATACAAGAATATAGTGTGCAAAATTTAGGGGCAACATCATGAAGAAGTGTAATGAACTGAAATCAATTTTATAGCTGTGATTCCTAACCAGAAACACCACTTGGTAAGTAACATGAAAAGCCATGATTGTAGCTCAGAGCAAAAGCAGCTCTATTACCAATGTGTTTGCTCTCATTGTAGACAGTTGGAGGAAAGTAAAGTGCAAGTGTTGCACTGCGTAAGTGCAAAGTCCGCCCCCACCATAGATACGATGACAAATAACAATATTAAGATACGTGGCTGAGGAGATATAGGACACAAAATTAAAAATACAATGGTGTCAACTGTTAATAGCACCATTACAGTGACTATATCCCAATGCTATTAACTAACTTTACCTTGGCCTGGGCTAGGTCTCCACTGAAGTAAAGGGTGGGTGTGTCCAACTCAGCATGCTCCAGGAGCCGCGGCAGGTGGCTCTTAGGCTGGCACTGACACCACCCACTGGCCCTGTGTCCTGGCAACCTCTTGGCACTGGCCAGACTAGGAGCCCCCGTGTTTGGCACAGATGCTGAGCCATGTGGTGGTTGCTCAAGGAAGGCCAACTCCCGGCTTCTGCTTCAACCCATTATGTGTACAATACAGATTAATAAGCAGTAAGGAGCCAATGTATAAACAGCAGTTACATATTTTTAAATTCCCCTTTTGTACAATTTAAAATAAAACATGTATACACTTCTCCTCTCTTTTCTACTGTACTTTAGCACCACAGGATATCAATTTTCAAGCCTATATTACCTGATAGACATATATGAAGTTTGGAAGAAAAATAAGGCAATTTGGTTTACAATGTTGATAGTTTTAGCTTACTTAATGCTCTAATGGAGAAAGCAAATCCTCACTCATATTATTAAATCATTTCAAGACTCAATGCTATCGGTATCTTATGGTCACACGGATTCAGGACAAATAGTGAGATCTTCATCTTCTTAAATCTTTCCATCAACAGTCAATGTTTAAGCAAATACAGACTTAAGAACATAAGCATCCTGTTTAATGTTGTTGTGAGCCCTGTGGAGATAAAATTAAAACTCAGTGAATGTTTACAAATCAATACATAATTAATTTTACAAATGAAAGCTAAGATGGATAACATATTAATAACCAACCATACTATTAAAAAAGATTGCTTTCTCAAAAGTGGTAGATTTTTTAAAGTTTGCTAATACCCAGTGGTCCAAGCAACCAGAAAATTTATGAAAATGAGACGCAAGAGATGGACTAGGATGAGCAGAAATGAAAAGGGATCCAGGCAAAGTTCTACCACATGGAATCCTAAGGTAATAACTTAAAAAACCCAGTCCAGTCATGTTCTTATATTGGAATCTGACTACTTTTTAAAAAGAATTCTTAAGTGGATGTGAACTACGTGTTACTATAACAGAAATAGACAAATACACGGGATGAATTAGAACATCCTTGGCCAGCACTCCTGCTGCAAAATACTGTCCTCCCTTTGTTTTTAAGTGAAATTTCAAATTAAGCTCATTCTATCATGTGAAGTTTTCTTGTAATTAATCAAAAACACAACTTAAGAAATGCCAGTCTACTAATGGAGAAGTTCTAAGAAACAAGTCTGTCCGATAAAGCATTATTATGGTGCAAACTTGTTTACCAGCCTTCCCAATTTTCAATTTCTTCTCCATCCTGAGATTTTTTAACCTAGAAATTCTGGGCAAATGTCAGAAGTCCCTATGAAAGTTGGTTAACTTATCTCTACCTCCACTGTCCTTACCCATCACCAACTAAGAAAAGCTATTGAGACATACCACCCCAAATTAGAAAATTTTTCTGCTGTGATATTAATGAGTTAATAATCCTTATCTTTCAACCCAACCAGAAATACATTCCAAATCTTTCCACTTCGGCATCTCCAGCAAACATTTCTACTTTCCATGCTAAAAGAGTGAATGGCACTAATGATGAAAGGCAGCCTGCCTTACATGGTGACGGGCAAACACTATTAGGCTCTGAAAGATAGAAAGGCTGAGAAACAGCTTTAACACCCTTTTAAAGGTTCTAACAAATGCTCCAATATGACAGTACAGTTTTATAGGTAAGTCAGGATCACTTTAAGGAACTACTTGTTGAAACATACTGAATTGGTTCTTTTCCTTTTCCAACAGTCAGGATTTAAACGTTTTTGTTCTTCAGCCAAAGCCTTTGCTTCTAATGTATACATCCTCCTCTCTTCATTCTTCATTTTCTTCCACCTGTCACCAAGGATCACACTTATGGCTCTATAAAATAAACATTCACACAACGTTGAAGGCAAGAATTTTTCAGAAAACTCATGTCAAGTGCTCCTACTTCAGGAAGAAATACAAAGTTGAAAAACAAAAATCTTGTCCAACACAGAGAATAGGAAAGGTCAAGACTATAGTAGTCATTTCCAGTAAAATCCTAAGTAATATGGTCCATTCATCATCATCTTGGCAGTTAAAGCCTCCTGGAGTAGGAACAATATTTCCGATTGTCAGAGAACATCTAAAATGGCTAAAAATTGGGTATTTTATACAGCTTTGATTTGAAGGAAGAAAAAAAGTATTTCAAAGAAACAGTTTAAATTATCATTGGGTACATCAGTTTTTCAAAAATGTTTGAGATATTAAGGCAGTGTTCAGTATCAGCAGCATAAGTAGCCACCTTTTATTAAAAGCTCTTCTTTTCTTTGTGCCCATAACCCCTCAAGTAGTCTTTTTACTTTCATGCAACCACAGTGAAAATACAATGGCATTAACTATGCACTTACTGCTTATCTCCTAAAGATACCACCAAATAAACCTTAGCCATCATTTGTACTTTAAAATGGATAAATTCAAGGAGGAAAAAATCAAACTGGTAAAACATCAGGACTGAAATCTGAAGCTGTTTCCTGGTAGCTCAGATGGTTAAGGATCTGCCTGCAGTGCAGGAGACCCAGGTCCAATCCCTGGGTGGGGAAGAGCCCCTGGAGAAGAGAATGGCAACCCACTCCAGTATTCTTGCCCAGAGAATCTCATGGACAGAGGAGTCTTGTAAATGGGGTCGCGAAGAGTGGGGCACAACTGAGTGACTAACACTTTCACTTACTAATCTGCTCCCAAACCTACTATAATAGTCTCATCCAGGACAAGCAGACGTAACTATTTTCCTTCTGTACAGAGCTTAACCCTTAGTTAACTCTCAAATTCATGACATTCACATGAAAAAGAAGTCTGCAATGACTGTGTGTAGTGCATACAAAAGATTTCACAATGGCTGATATGGAGGCTAGAAAACTGGCCTCTAAGCTTTAGAAAAACAGTCACCACAGATGCTCTACTCCTTGAAATTTAAAATGTTATAAATGTATGGATTTTTTAATAAGTTGATGCAACTAAACATTGTATCTTTGATTAAAATAAAAACCAGTTTTTATAGTCTCTGGGTTAAAGGTACCATATAATGGTTGATACATGTACTACTTGATTACAAAGTATTCACATATGTATCAATTCCCAAGTCACAGATATATTTGGTAGAAGAAGCTTCTCTTTTTAATGAAAATAAAAGTATTTGGGATGGGCAAAATGGGTGAAGCTGCTCAACAGGTACAAACTTCCAGATATAAAATAAGTGATGGGCTATAATGTATAGAAGGGTGAGCACAGTGAGTAATAAATACTGTGGTGTATTTGAAAAGTGCTAAGAAAGCTGATCTTAAAAGTTCTCATCACAAGAAAAAAAATTCCTAATCATGGTGATGTATATTAATTACTTATTGTTGCTATCATTTTATTATATGCAAATAGCAAAGCATTATGCTATACACCTGAAACTTAGCATGTAATATGTCAGTAGCATCTCAAATATATGTATATAAAAAGAGATGAGTCATTCAAACCTGATTCAAAGCTGAATTATTCTATGTGCATAATCATTTGACTTTTGTCATAATATTAATATGGGTAAGGGAGCTAGGAAGAATGGGAAACATAATTTGTGGAGACCTTGGTTTGAGGAAATGAATAGTAGAGGATTCCAAGATGAGGTAACGGTACAAGGGAACAAACAGTAGGAAGGACTAGCATTAACTTTCATCCCTGAGCTCTACTGAGGATACCTCTGCGTTTAGTCTCTTGGCAAATCTGGCAGTCATTAGAATCTGCCAACGCCTGCAGACTCCATGGTATGACACAGCTGTAGAGGACCTCCTTGAGGTCTGACAAAAGAAGGTGCTAGTCATTCCTATAAAAGTGGAACAGCTGTTAAAACTAAGTCCTCTAACAGGCAAGTGACATTTAATATTATTTTAGAAGGCAGACCGTACCTCTTAGGTAACCTAGTTATGTCTTAACTTTTACTTTAAAGCCAACCTGTACAACAGAATTCAATAATGAAAGCTACTGAAGAATAAGTTGATTTAATTATTCCAGTTCCTATGAACTCCATAGAAGTATTATTCAATTATCACAGTCAGAATTATCACTATTTTTACCTGTTATCTTTCCCTGGATACATCTGAGTATATTCAACTCTGTATTTTTTGGCAAACAGCATGAAGGCATTCATTGGTCTTTTGCACTTGTTAGGAGAAGTGGCACTCACAGTCCCTGAGCCGTGGGTTTTGACAGCTTTAGCATACAAAGAACTGGGAGAGAGCTGCGACGACCCCGGCGAGCCACAGTTCTTACTGAATCCAGATCTTTCGAAGTCTTGACCTCCAGGTCCTCCACAAGACAGAGACGCACGACGCTGGCGAGCCATACTACTTAGCACGTAAACGGCAGAAGAATCCATAGGCGTGAAATCATAGCTATAAATAAATAAGTTTAATTCAGTACAATTATCTGATTTGTAAAAACAGGATTAAAAAAAAAGTATCCTTAAGATCTGATTAGAAACTTAAAGTGTATTTTACCTTAAATACTACCAACACTACTTTAACAGCTTCACCTTTGACAGTTGCTTATAAGATGAAAGCTTATCTGTGCATTTACTAAAATTGGTTCTTTTAATCTTGAGAATACAAAAAGTTTTTTAATTACTTCACCCTTCCCTACCCCAAAGGAATTTATTATAATCCACATACTTTATTCATAGCAAACACCTACTTCAGATCCCATACAACTCACTTATTCCTACTTTTTGGACAAATTTGATAATCTATTTTGTTGACCTACAGAAGCCTGAAACTAAAAAAATTTAAACAGTGGCAGGCATATATACCAGGCCTAAGGACTAACTGCTATAGAAGATAAGATGTTGGCTAAGGACAGGGAGAAATGGTTAAATATAGCTAAAGGAACTTAAAATGCACAGTAGCCCAATCACTTGTTTAGGTACAAGCAGTCATACATGCATAAATCTCCCCTAAAGGCGATCCACATAACATAGCCTAAAACTTAAAACATCCACATTTGTCAGAAAGGCTACATTTCGTCTGATATATTCAGTTCATATAGGTATCAAAGTAAGTTCTCCATATTCTCTCTTACTTTCTTACCAAGCTTGCTTGGTGATTATTATCCTCTCTATATGAAGAAACAGGCTAAAAAAAGGTAAAGTATCATTCACCCACAGCCTCGCAGCTATTAGCTCTAAATCCTCATGTTTGTCTGTCTCCAAAGCCCCAGGTTGCCTCAGCAATACCACAGTACTCTGTACCATTGTTTGCAAACCTCAAGGTGAATAATCATCAGATTTACTGAAAACATTGTCTGAAAATTAGAGATAATGAGGACCATAGCCTAAAGATAACTTATTAAAAGAACTCTCTTGTTCCAACTGTGTAAAGTTTAACTTACCACTTACATTTTTAATCTTAGCAGAAAATCTTTTACTCTAAACCCAACTCTCTCTCCCCCTGAAATTCTGGCAATACATCAACAGGTTGATGTGAGCTACAGGAACAGTATCTGCCTATTGGTAAAACAATATGAGATTATAGATGATTTTAGACACAGATGGAAAGCTACATGAGTGAGGTCCACACCATTCACTGTACACAATAAAAATTACTTTTACCATTTATCACAACATTTGTTTTAAAAGGTATCCCAACAAGCAGCAAAGGTTTACTGTATATATAGCACAGGGAACTAGTCAATATCTTGTAATAACCTATAATGGAAAATAATCTCAAAAATAAGTATATAACTGAATCATTTTGCTGTGTACCTGAAACATTATAAATCACTGTACCTCAATAAAATAATTAAGGAAATAAAAGGTATTACATGAAATAAGTGTACTTGAGGAAGTAGGACTCCAAAATCATCCGATAAATGCTTAGCAATCAGTATTATGCCAGAGAAATAATTTTTGCTACCTTAATCCCCTCTTGTATGTAATTTAGAAAAACAGCAAACCTAATCATTGTAAATAAACCTGACACAAAATTATTAATCTCTACTGTGCTTGTGTGCTAAGTCGCTTCAGTCATGTTCGATTCTTAGGGATCCCATGGACTGCAGCCCACAAGGCTCCTTTGTCCATGGGATTCTCCAGGCAAGAATACTGGAGCGGGTTGCCATGCCCTCCCTTCAGGGAAATCGTCCCATCCCAGGTATCAAATCCCTAACTGAAGGAAAGTATTTAATTACAATTTGAAATACCAAGAGATTTAAAAATAGGGTAAGCTAACTGACAACTGAAATTTGAAAATACCACCATCTAGTGGTACAACCAACCATCCATTTCCATTACGGATAAAATCTGTAGTTTGAAATATTCAATCACAGAATTCAGATTTTGTTATGACCATAGCATTATAATATTACATAAAATCCATCTTAAGAAAGTTTAATTTTTTTGCTATACTGAACATTCACTGCCTTCACAATCTGTAGTTCCTAAAATATGCTTTTATTTCACACCTTTTTTTTACATGCCATTCCTCAAGCTTACAATGTCCCCTTTCCCAGCATCATTGTCTATTACTCTTAAAGAAAAACTCCACAATATTGTAGTGTATGTTAAGCAAATCACAAATATTAACTCACTTAGCCCTTTTACAGCTTTTTTTCTTTTTTCAAAGACCCACACAAAAATTAACTTACCCCAATTTCCACAGCAAATCTATCACAAAGCTAGGACCTGAATCCTGGCAGTCAGCTCCAGAACCAAGTTGCTACCAGACTACACTGCCTCTCAACCAGCACATCACACACCATACACATGGACTCATTCATCTACTTCTTTCTTTAGACTAGAAGCAGACAGGCAAGCTTATATTTTAACTGATTTTAAAGTCCCCAATGCCAGCATATTCTAGGCTCTCAAAATGTCTGATGACTGACCGAGACAGTAAAATAAACAAATCTGGAGAACGTAATAATATAAAATTTTAATTGGGCTCAAAGCCCATCTCTGCCACTTACCAATAATACAACCTTGGGCAGGTAATCCTGTAGCCTGTTTACTCATCTCTAAAATGAAGATAATACATGCTATGCAATGCTGCATAGTTGGAAGAACAGACTATATAAGACAGAGGCAAGCTCACAGGTACTCATGTGAAGTATCAATTATTATTGAAAAAGTAGCCTAGATTGGTAAAGTGACTATCCCTAAACCTGCCCAGGGATGCCTAGAAGATTGGCCTCAATGCCCACCTGTCTCAAATGGGCTTCTTCAAATCAAATTCTCACTTGGAAGCTCCCTTTCTACAGTAGAGCCACAAATTGTGTTTAAAAGCTCATCAGTTTATTGCTGACTTCTGGTCCTCAGAAAGCTAACATCTACTCAAATGCCCTTGCCCGACCAGCATGACCCTAGAGCACCTACTGTGTGCCAGCAATTCTCAAATGGGCTTCTTAAAAGTTCTCTGGAAGTTTCCTTTCTACAATAAAGCCACACACTGTGTTTAAGAGCTCATCAGTTTATTGCTGACTTCTGTTCCTCTGCAAGCTAACATCAACTTAAATGCCCTTTCCCAACAAGCATGACCCAAAAGCACCTATTGTGTTGCCAGCAATGTCTAGCTGGGTATTAATAACAAAGAAATAGGATATTTCTAATATTACTGAAGTTCTACATTGGCCACCCCCAGAGATAACCACTCTCCTGAACTGTTTATCATTCCCCCTTCCAGTAATTTTATTATAAAAAACATTCATAAACAATAAGACTATAACAACACTGTTAAAACAGCAACTATATTAACATGTGATATTACTTAGAATGTTTAATTGTGCAGAAAAAGGAACATCACAGGCTTGCTGTCTTTCAAAGGGCTACTTACAGGCTGGCAATGACTAGCATTTGGAATTAAGATTTCAAGAGGGTTCCCCTCATTCCCACAACTGGTAAAGTGGCTCACTGTTCCTAAACTGTAGATACTGAAAATACTGTTTACCCTAAATACCTGCTTTCGTTCTGGAAGCTTTTGGTACATGCCAGGCAGAGACAGCCTGTGCAACCAGTTCCCAATAAAACCTCTAGTGTTGCATGTCTACTAACCTTCCTGGCAGATGACAATTCCTACGTGTTGTCCTAACTCCCTGCTCAGGGAAATAAGCTTGTCCTGTGTGACTCCACAGGGAGAGGACTCCTGGAAACCAGGCTTCACGAGACTTAAGCCCACGCCTTTCCTTTTCACAATTTTGCTTCGTATCCCTTCACTGTAAGAAATCATAGCTGTGCTTGTGACTCAGTACTGAATCCTGTGAGTCCTCCTGGTAAGACACTGAACCTGGGGGTTAACTTGAGGATCCCTAACCTAACTCTATAATGTGTATTTTATATACAATGTGTGTCAGTCACTTAGTGGCGTCCAACTCTTTGTGACCCCATGCACAGTAGCCAGCCAGCTTCCTCTGTCCATGAGATTCTCCAGGCAAGAATACTCGAGTGGATTGCCATTTCCTTCTCCAGGTGATCTTCCTGACCCAGGGACTGAGCCTGGGTCTCTCCTGCATTGCAGGCAGATTCTTTACCATCTGAGTCATAGAAAGATTATTTAAATTTTTACTTAACATTTCTAAAGTTGATCCATGTTTAAAAATGTGTGTCTAAGGTGGCACTAGTGATCTGGTTCATTGCCTGTGTTGGGAAGATCCCCTGGAGAAGGAAATGGCAACCCACTCCAGTATTCTTGCCTGGGAAATTCATGGACAGAGGAGCCTGGCAGGCTACAGTCCACGAGGTCACAAAAGACTCGGACACGAGTGAGCACACACAAGATTCATTTCTTTTCCACTGACAAAAAGAATTCCATTGCATGAATGTATCACATCCAGTTTCCAGTGAATGAGTACTGATACTGAGTCCATGTTTTTGCTATCATGAGCAACACAGCTATGAGCTTCACACATCTCCCAGTACCCGTCTACAGGCATTTACTCTCTGGTGTACATACAGAGGAATGGAACTGCTGATATTCCAGTGGCTGACAATAAAGCCAAATTTTCTTCCAAAATTTTTATATCAGTTTACACTCTCACCAAAACATTAGAAGTATCATGAATCTACATCCTAGGAATACTGAGTGTCGGACCTTAACACTGCCTCGTTTTTCAAAGACTATATGAAAGAATCAAGCAGCCCTTAGACTCCAATCTCAGGGACGCTGAAGGAGCATACAGCCTGGGCCTGGCCCTGTGCCGGTTACCTTTTTCCCCTTTTTAACAGTCTCACTTATGCTTTCGAAATAAAAACATATTCATCTTATATTAAACTGAATGAAATAAAATCGTCAGCCCAGCAAAAACTCCTCAGAATTCTCTACTTAAATGCTTATGAATTTTATAATTATCACAAAGAAACAACAGGTCTTAAAATCCAAGATACTATATTCAGACTTTCTCTGCATTCCTTCTGGGAGAAGGGTGACCCAACTGCCCCCGTCTTCCCAAGACTGAGGGGTTTCTAGGGATGCAGGACTTTCAGTGCTAAAACCAGAAAAGTGCTACAAAAATTCAGGCAGTTGGTCAACCTTCTTGAGTGTCAGCACACGTGGGTTCTTATCCTATTCTACAACTTATTAAACAAGGTGATCTCAGGAAAAAATCACTTTCTTCAAGTCTTTCCAAATATCAACGTTTTTGCTGTTCTCACAATTGTTAATCCATACAACTAAAGACCTTGGTCAAATTGAGTATTAAAGAGTTAACTAAAGGAAAAAGGATACAATTAACAGATTAATGAACCAGTTCAAAACAACTGGTCAGATTTAACAAATTTTTTTGAACTATCAAAGCTGATCTATTTCAGTAGGACCTTGTTGTTTATCTATTAGATGTACATAGTTTGTATCTGCTAATCCCAAACTCCTAATTTATCCCTCCCCACCCCCCTCAGGTAACTGTAAGTTTTTCATTCTGTAAGTCTATCTGTTTTGTAATAAGTTCATTTGTATCTTTTCTTCCTAAAGATTCCACATATACGTGATACCATATGGTATTTGTCTTTCACTTACTTCACTTAGTATAATCATCTCTGCGTCCATCCATGTTGCTCCAAATGGCATTATTTCTTCCTTTGTAAAACTTCTCTAGAATTACTATTTTACTTTAATTACCAAGTATTTTTTCATTTATTCTTATACAGTTGACCCTTGAACAATGTGGGTTTGAACTGCATGGGTCCACTTACCATGGATTTATTTTTTTCAATAGTAAATACTACTCAGTCCATGGTTGGTTGAATTTGCGTACATGAAAAGCTGGCTATAAGTTATATGTGGATTTTCAACTGTGTGGGGTCGATGTCCCTAATACTTGTGCTGTTCAACGGTTGACTGTACATACTTCTTCTAAGTAGTCCGTTTTAATTCTCACATCTTTAAAGGTTTAACCTCCTAAATAGCAATCATTAGGGAGATTACAAGTTAGTTAACTTTAACAGAGGAAAAAAAAGATTTACTATTACCTTTTAAATGTATCAAAAACACCTGAATCATCAAAATTAATGGCATCGGGGTGTCCAGGAGGTAGACATACATCACCAATATGAATTTCACAACATGGAATGCCATGCTGAACCACAGTCAAGCTTGGATAAAATGATGACCAACCTAAAGTTAAATCAAACAATCATTACATAAAGGATAGAGACTGACAGAAAGCACCCAAATTATTTCTTAGACATGTCACCTCTGAGTCTTAAAAATAAAAAGTTAATATTTCAGAGATTTATAACACAAGTCATGTATCTTTGCCACAAAACAAATTCAAATATTTTATTTAAGCAATGCAAAAAGCCCTCCAAAACTAGTTTAATTCAGCATTTTACTAATGTATCAATTCTATCAATCAGTACTCCGTCTACCTACAAGATAGTAAGCGATAAATGATGATGATTGAGACCATGAAATAGTCTCTGAATCATTACATTTGAGTGTATTAATGTGACTCAGGTATAAAGCATATTTGGCCTAAACCAAATTTCAATTACCAGAATATTTCATTCCCCAAATTATATCAAGACAATAGACAGCTTATTATAGTATATACTACATGAATCCACAAGTTCATACCCACAGGAAGTAGAGCTCCACCTGACTACTGCCAAGAGATTTAAACATCAGTAGGTATTATAAGGCATTTCCTATGGTAGTTTTAGTGTGAAAGAAGATTTCCCTTCAAAAGTTTTTTCTTAATCATCAAAAATCACGCCATAAGACATAATTATAGATTTAAGAAGCTTTCTTTAAAAGTTATGACAAATTCAAATTGAAGCCCTACCTTTATTTTTAACATAGAAAGGGTGGTCCAGTTTACACTCTACAGTAAGTAAACCATCTTCCACTGTACCAGGATCAAAAGTCAACTTCAGTACAGACTCACCAAATGATACACTTTCTTCATGTGATAACAACTTTAGACCATCAGAACCATAGCCCTGGAAATACACGCATAGAGCAAATAAATTGGCAATGTTCAGTTCAACATGGAGTGATGTTCCTATTACATGTAAGACTTTGTAGAGAAGGTAAAAATAAGATGGGATTCTTGCCATTGAGGAGCTATCAACCCAGTAGTGAAGAAAGGCAGATATATAAATCACTACAATATAAAGCAGACTGGAATCAGTACTTCAATGTAAAAATAAGTAGTGCTATATGGAGTTTAAAGGGAGATATTAACTCCAAGAGATTAAGGGGGCTTTCACTTCCCATGTGAAATGGAATCTAGAAGCACTCTCCTTACACAAGGAATAGTTTTAACTAGCAACTTCTTTGGAGATTGCTGAGTATTTGCTAAAAATACAAGATGAATTCAGAGTTGGGGCAAATAAGGCTGCAAAGAAGGGCCCAGCTAGTAAGTAAGTAAAGGGGTCTTAAAGACTGGCAAAGTGCTCAAACTTTCCTTTGAGAAGGAACTGGGAAGTCAATGAAAGTATTTTTATTAATGACTCAATTTTATGATGGTAACAAAGACTACAGATAAAAGCTATCTTTAGCAGTCTATTTATCTGAAGATTCACAGGAGAAACCCACTACAGTCTTGAATTGACAACTGCAATGGTGGGAGAACTGGGCTAAATTTAAATTCAACCAGTATTTATTGAGTGGGTAGTAGATGCTAGGTGCTAGGCTCTGAAAACACATGATCCCCACCCTTAAATTCACAGAAAGACAAAGGAGACAGACATGCCAATGGCTAGCTATAATATCCAGTCAAAGTTACTGATGAAAGAAAGTGATAAACGTAAAAAACCTTAAAGGAAATAAATGTATCAATTGAATATGAAGGGAGGAAAGGAAATAGTCAACTTGATGTTTTGAATGAAGCAACCAAGGAAGATTTTGAATCTGGCAATCAAGAAAAGATAATAATACTCCTAAAAGAAAGGAGGGGAAGAAAAAGGCAGTCTAGTGTTGGTTATACTAATAACTAGATTGAAGAATCTTCTGATTCTTAGAGCTATAAGAACTTAAAATCAATCCAATTCCTTCTTACAAAACAGGAAGCCAACACCCAGTGGGGCAGACAAACTGCCCAAGGCCAGTCACGTAAATGTTAATAGCTGCTGGCAGAGCAAAAAAGAAGAGCACAGCTCTCCTGACTCCAAGACCAGGGCAGTTTCCACGGGCTGCAAGGAATTGCTTTGAACATTATCATCAGTGAGGAAGTGGTAAATAGAGTGAGGAGGGGTAGAACCTTATCTAACATTCAACAGCATGGGCAGACAAGTCAACAGCAAAAAAAACCAAGACATCAGAAGGAAAATCAGGGCAGTACCATGCTACACAAATGAAGAGAAGACAATCCACTGTGCAGAATGCTGCAGAAATTACAAGCAAAACAAGCAGATTTCTAATCAGAATGAAGCTAGTAACCTTTGACACAGTTTTAGTAGAGCTACAGAGGCCAAAGAAAGACTACAGTGAACTTTACTGTCCAGTGCCTACAGCACGAGGGAAAATTGAATGAAGGCAGCAAGACTGTCTTTCTCAAGGACTCAACAGGAACAGACAGCAGGATCAACACAGGAATTTTTAAACAAGCACACTTAACAGGCCCATTTTCTCTGCCCAAAGTGGAGATGAAGAAATTGAAGATTTCAAAGATAAAGGTTTCACCAGTATTTATCCACTGCTACCCATTACTGCCTTTGCTTTCCGACTCAGAAAATAACAGCATTTTATTGGGTCATTTTAAAAGTAACTCAACTCTCTATCCACAGGAGAATTAACCACTTTGTAGATTACCTAAGGTAAGGCTTTAGTTTATTCATTCATTTTATGTTTAATGCCAGTTTAGTTTTCCCCAAAATGCAATGTGTAAAAAGTGCTAAGAAATACTCTTTTTTCCCATCTAAAAAAGCTTCATTATCAAGGTAAGATCTCAAGTCACTGTTGTTCTCACCAAGAGGATTCACAAAAGCTCCTCCCAAAACGTAGGATGCCATTTAACATAAAGCAAGTGGAGGATACGTCTGTAGATTAATAAAAAACCTGTGCTCCCTTTGAAAGACTTGGAAAAGTTTAAAGAATTTTAAATCAACCTTGTGAGTGCCCATCTGGAGATCGTCCTCATTATCACAGCCTTCGGTTCTAGCAAAATCTTCCACATTCTGCCATTCCTTATTGCTTCCCTTATGAAAGCACAGTCGTGTGCCTAAAGTTGAAGTAAAAAACAAATATTAGATATGTGATCAGTGTGTTTGCTACACTAGTAAACTAAAGAATTCAAGAGTTTTTTTAACCTTTCAAAAAACAGTGCCAAGCAGTTGAAGGCCAGGAATTGCACCACCCCAAGTCGTCATCATCTGAGAGGGAGGACATGCAGAAAATGCCAGATTCCGACTCACTGTTTGCCTGTGGAAAAAAGTATTACAAACTTTTTATTTTTTATTTTCAATGTATTTTGTTAAAGTGTCTTCAGACTTTATTAGTAGGTAACTTACTTATTTTAAACTGTGGGAGAGAAGTTTTGCGAAGTTTAGTTAAATGCATTTTCTTACTAGTTTTACTAGTAATGAATTTTTCTAACAGTTATTAGACCTGTACATATAAAATCGAACTTAGATCACTAGCAGAAAAATGAGACAGACTATTTCCCATCTGTATGTACTTCAGAAGACACTCTTAGTGAGGGAAAAGTTAATGTTTTCCAGCTGCTGTGCAAGCGTCATGAAAGTTTAATTTCATGAATGAACTTACCCTTTCATGTCTGACTGGTGTTTGCTCCTTCCAGTGATGAGGGAAGGCCGGCTCACCCTTAGAAGAGGCCACCGGTGGAGGGCGTGCGTAGGAATGTAAACTTTTGCTAGTAGCTATGATGTGTACAGGAGATGATCTAAAATAAATCAGGCACTTTAATTACAAAGCAAAGGTCCTTAAACTAGGGCTTTCCTTTTGATGAAAAGAACTTCACATTCACCACACCAGTATTATTACGTGTAAGACACCTATGGGAAGCACTGGTGAAGATACAAAAATTTCATCTATAGTATGTTGTTGTATGACTTCTTTCCCTCTTCACACATTTTAAACACTTTTTTTCAGATGAGATAATATACTTTAAATTCCAAATTACTGTTTCCTTTAATGAATGAATTTAATGAATAAATTCACTCATTTTTGTATCACTAAATACAAAGAAATATACAGTTTCCTTCATGAAGGATGATGTCCCCTCATGCAGGGCTGTCTGTCCCTTTCTGTTTTACTGTGATGTGGTCACTAAATCTCAATCTGAACAGGGCCTCCAAGCTCTATGTGACAAACTCGGAACTCTTCAGCTACCAACCACCTGCAGATTCAATGGATTACCTGAAGCTGAAATGTTTAAACTTATTATAGTAGAAAACAGCCTATTTGCAAAGCATCTACACATAAAGCCAGCTACTTCAACCCCCAGGATCACCTTAAAAAGTAAGCTACCTCTTCCCCCTTTCCTGTCAAAGGTCTCTTTACCAGGCAGCACTCCCCTCAGAGTACATGGGGCTCTCAAGGACATACTAAGATCCTTCCCCCACAAACATATGGGAGGGGTAAGAATAAGAAGCAGGCAATAAAGGGCAAGCACTAATGTGCACCGATTCAGGAGACTGGAAAGCAGCAGAGAAGACTTAGGCTCAATTGAAGGTCCCAAATCAGGACAATTCTCCATGTCAACTAGGGATTTGGTCTTTAACAGAAAAATGTTTACAGTGTCTATTCTAATCCTCTTTCTAACAAGAGGAGGGCATCTTACTTTCCAATTCTGTCCTTACTCCGTAAGAAATCTATTAGTCCCTTGACTTTTATAATCTTAATTAACATTTTTATTATATCTTTGCAGAAATTACTCTATATAAAACTATACTGTTTTCATCACTTAAGTAAAAACCCTAGTTTTCACGTATTTTAGCATACTCTCCAACCAATTTTCAAAATATAAACACTTAAATGTTTCATCTTTTATTTCTTCCTTTTATTACACATTTTACATATTTATTGAGTGGCCAAACTGTTAAAAATTCATTAAGCTTGTCCCTGCTTCCTTAAAAGAAAATTAAGTTTACCAGTTCTTCTGTATAACCATTTAAAAGAGAACAACGTAATGTTCTAAAATGTGTATGACCTAAATGCTCTATAAAAATTAACATGCTAGATGTGTCTGAATGACTAACACCATGGTCTCTTCATCCCTCTATCTATGCAAGCATAATATAAATTTCATCTGTCCTCAACCCCTTGACATTCTACAGTTACAACTTCAGACACCCAAAAGCTCAGTAACTAACAGTCTGACAATCTATAGGAAGTTGTAGAGAATAGCCATGGACCACTGACGGGGTTAGAAGCCAGGCAAAACAGTAGAGCGTTACCTTGTCTTGTTCCCGAGGAAGAAGGGAAGCACAGAAAATGCGGTGGGGAATTTACACCTTTAAGGAGCTACTCCTTTATTTTTTTAACATTAATTTTCTTCTGAGGACTTTACTCAGCTTTCCATGAATTATTATTAGTCCTCGAGTTTGTTGTGAAAAATGAAAATTACCATCTCAACTAAAAAAAGGAGTCCAAGAGTAAAATCTGGATTTTCTTTTAATTATAAAAGAATTTTTCATTTTTTGACTATTAAAGATTACTTAATAAAATAAAAACTGGGACAATAAAGGAAGAAATACTTTTCTCTTCCTTATAAACTATCTTTTTTATCTATGTCTTTTTAAATAGTCAACTTTATAATCTGAGGGATAATTAATAAAATATTATCCATTTAGGTCTCTCTAGGAATATTAGTTGGAAGATTCCATAATTTTATAGCACAGTAACTCATTTTCTTAAACTGTACTCTGGGTATACGAAACTGGGTTTTTTTTTTACCAATGGGAGTCTACTTGGAGAAATTCAAGATTCAAGATTTCAATATCAGCAAACATATACATAACATAAAGCCACATACACTGTGAAAAAGAAAAATAAACTTATTAGACCAAAAGGAACCAAATTCAAGGTTGACTAAGTTTAAAATATAATGTTAATTATGGCTCTTTAGAAAACTTTCGTTTCTCTAATCAAAAAATTTAAGTATTCTTGGTCTGATGTATTTCTTGATGACTTTAAACCATTTAAGACTCTGTTCTCATATTACTTTTATCTAATCCTCAAAGTATGAAATAATGACACAGGGTTAAATACCTCTTTGATCATTTTAAGATAAAGAGCTTAATTTTAAGGACTTTAATAAAAAAAATCTTTATTTAGATGATCAACAGCATTATTACTTTTAAAACTAGGGAGGAAAGAAGTGTTTTGTAATGATGAAGTTTTCAATTAAAATACAGCCAATGTTCCCACCTGTTGTAAAATGAGCACTGCATAAGTGGACTTTGTGGGCTGGTGGCAATATTTGCTAGTTCTGTTAGCCAATCCACTTCATTTTCACGGTAAGTATTTTCTGATATCTCTGAGGTATTTTGGTTCCAAGATGGTCTTGGGTATTCTTGATGCGACACATCTGAACTTAGTTGGTATATGGCAGATTGAGTAGGATCACTCTGAACAGCCTGAAGTTCAGGAAGATCATCTGCAAATAAGCACACTCAAGATTATCAGAAGGAAGTTACTAATACAGGGGACAATACTGTCATCACTGCTGGAAAAGAGGGCCTCAAATTTAGCTAGTTAATTTTGTGAGAGGAAAATTGTAAATTCAAAATGTTTTCTTGAAATAAAGTTTCAACTGAAAAAACAATGACATCTTATACATTTAAGGGTCAACAAAGCCTAACAGAAAAGTAAACTTAAATATAAATGGATTAATGACTTCACTATACACATCATGTATTTACCACAACTGTTTACAAACTGTTCTGTTTGTGTTTTCTGACTCCCCACCCCCAGTTTTTCATAGGTTCACCTGGGAATACTCCATATGCTACTCAGACATTTTTATGTTACCACGTTAATGAGGAAAAAGGCACTTTATGGGTGCATATATGTACTTATTGTTCATAACACCTGAATCTGTTAAACAAGACTACTACAATAAATGAAAACAACAATTTTCAAAGATGAAACTTAGATCATAGGAATTTTTAGGTACTACTTATTCAACTTTATCTACACCAGATTATTTCTTTTTAATGAGACAGTCTAAACTCAGTAATATTTATTATCTTCCAAAAGTATGTTCTCAAAAGGTAGTTCATGACAGACTTTAGGCTACCCAAGAAAGAAAACCAGAAAGAGTACCCAAGGACCACTCTCATTCATGCCAAAACTACACTGTAAGGTAGACTGAATTCTAAAAAACTGAACTGGAAAAAAAGCCTCTTGCAGGCCTTAAAAACAACAAAATCCCTTTGTGAAACCACACGCCTGTAAACTCTATGGATCCAATGGGTCTCTTCAATAGATAAACGCAGAAGCTCTTGTAGACTTGAGAGCTCTCCTACACTGTCACAGTAAAAGCACATACTCATTCCTATTCATGGAATATCCCAGAATAACTCACTAAAACAGAAATGTCTGATAAGTACTGATTCAGGATACCCATTCATAAAACCTACTAGAAGGTATCCCTCCCTTCCCAAAGAAGCCAAAGTACATCAACTTAAGATAATTTCACTCTGTAATGCTCATGGTGGTGGAGCTATTTTCCTTCCCTCATTGCCAACATCATTGTTAGACTATCACCTCTGTATTTACAGTGAAGGGTTCATTTCTGTCTTTCAAGTTAAGAAATCTACTTTTAAACTGAAGTCATGAGGGGCTGTAAAAGTTTTTGGCCTCCTGAGCCCTAGGTTCCTGATTTCCTTCTGAAACCAACTAACAATGGAGAACCAAGTACTTGATTGAAATGATAACCTCCTACTCAACAGTAACCACAATTCAATAAGTATTTTGAGCTCAGCAAACCCTTAGCATGCCAACAGGTTATTTCTCAAGACCTTTAAGATCTTCAAATTCCCAAAGAAGACTCTACCATATAACTTCCTTTATTTCATCATTTATAAAATGAGGACAGTCACATCTCGGATTTTGTGAACATCAGGGGAAAATGCACGTTAAATGGAGACAAAGCCAAGATGAAAAGTGGGCAGCAAGACAAGCTCACTCATCAACTGTTTATTCTCTTCAACACTTACCTCAAAGCAGTAACATTCAAAGTCATATCTCAACAAACCTACACAGTTCTATATATCATGCATATTTGGAATACTGATAATTACAAATGTCTGATCCTCCAGTTTCAAGTGTCCACTGGAATTTCCCCCATCATACCAACAAACCAGGCATAAAGGCATAGCCAGCATAATTTGCTGAGCTTACAAAGATATTTCAAAAGTAACATCTTTTGAAAAGCCACACCACAGGTTTTCACAAGGTGTTTAAAGGCTCATCTTTACCCACAAAGACAGCTGAGTTTGAATTTGTAAATGAGTCTCTATGATAACCATAAACAGCCCAAAGTTATGTTGGCTTAAATAACACTTTACAAGCAGTAACAAGAGAACACTGAAAGTTCCTAGTGTACAAAACTTAACATACTTTTTAGCAATTCAAGGTGGGTGGAAAAGTTAGCTAAACATGAAAATTAATCTGAATCTCAGTGAAGAGCCCTAAAAACTTGATTTTGTTTACCAAGTTCCATGTGTTCATCACAAGAGTTGTATCCAGGTGAGGATGGCAAATTTTCATTACACTGCAGCAACTCCAATGAGTCATTCATTCCTGAAGCTCTCTTGTCCATTACTAGCAGGAGTTTCTGTACTGCATTAGGCATCTGATTTGTCTTCACTTCCCACACCATGTTATGGTGCTCCGACTTAAAAATAATACAAGAAAAAACAGTTAAGTCATGTGATCTGGAATAACGAAAGTATAAAATCAATCAGAGACATCACAATGTTTTATCTTTAATCATATATTGCTATCTGTATCCCCCTCAAAACTGCTACACAAGGGACGGCTAAAGGTCCATTCTATTTGGCATCTTTTTTGCAAGATTCTAATTTCTCTATCGTGTTCACTATTTTGTTTTCTCATCTTCTGAAAGTGAACAAGCGTAATGTTACAGTCTCTAAAGAACATTTAAGAAAGAGTTTCTCGGGACTTCCAGTGGTTAAGACTCCATGCTTCCATTGCAGGGTCACAAGTTCAGTCTCTGGTTGGGGATCTAAGATCTCGTGGCCAAAACAAAAACATAAAGTAAAACAGAGTTTCTTAAAGTGGACATATATTATACTTCTCATAAAAATGTTTTCTTAATGAGAATTTGGAATCTAATCAAAATAAAAAGGCTACTATTTTTACAAAGATGTATAATAATAATGGGAAATTTAGCTAAACAATAAATATACCATTATCTCAAGCTTACAAAATTAAAAACAATGAAGAAAACAATATAAACTGATACACCTAAATAATTTCTCAACTATGTCTACCAACTAAATTGTTATGAAACTAAAATGTGGTTATACCTTTTACATTCCTGCCTTTGAACAATGATCAAATTAGTTATTTAATATGAGTAACAGCAGCAGGAAGATATTTCTCAGGCTCTACCCCAAATTTCATTTTTAAAAGTTCTAATGAAATATACCAACACACAATTCTAACATAACAGTTTTTTCCTCAAAATAAAACAAAATATACTGCTGTTAAAAGTCACTTAAAAAAATAAAGTTGGGAATTCCCTGCTGGTTCAGTGTTAGGAGTCGGTGTTTTCACTGCCAGGAGCCTGGGTCCAATCACTGGTCAGGGAACTAAAACCCCCCAAATCACATGTGGCATGGCCAAAAAAAACAGGCACTAAAAGTCAAGTACCATAGCCCAGGCTAAACAAAAAATGCAGTGAAAAGATATTTAAACCAAAAGCTAAGTCATGACATAATCACCAACACACACTGACAATTTTTCTACAAAGGCTTTTTTCATGAATTTTCTTTTTATTATGAAACATTATCCTGACTATAAAACAAATGATCACTGTGGGGGGGGAGATAAAAGCTTTCCTTAGCAAAGAAGAAAGGAATATAGTAATTATTTCTAATTCCACCAACCTAAGTTACTGGGACATTTTGATGTTACTATCTAATGATCCAATCTTTTTTTCACACAGACATCTACATTTTACCTAAACAAAATCATTTATTTTTCTTCATACGTCGTATTATATATAAATGAGACCTTTTCTTAACATTAAGTTCATAAGCATTTGCCTGTTCATAAGCATTAATTCTTTCAAAGATCTGTTTTTAAAAATCATGTATAATCACAGGAATTACCAAAATTTACTTATCCCTCCTACTACTAAACATGTTCCCAGTTTCTTCACTCTTACTTTATACATTCTTTTTTTTTCTTAAGTATTTGTTTACATCTGGTTATTTCTTTAGACTTCCAGGAGATAGATTAGTGGTTGGATGGCAATTAAACATCTTCTAAGGCTTACTCCTTGGAAGGAAAGTTATGGCAAACATAGACAGTATATTAAAAAGCAGAGACATTACTTCGCCAACAAAGGTCCATCTAGTTTAGGCTTTGGTTTTTCCAGTAGTTATGTATGGATGTAAGAGTTGGACTATAAAGAAAGCTGAGCTCTGAAGAATGGATGCTTTTGAACTGTGGTGTTGGAGAAGACTCTTGAGAGTTCCTTGGACTGCAAGGAAGTTCTGGGTGTTCACTGGAAGGACTGATGCTAAAGCTGAAACTTGGATACTTTGGCCACCTGATGTGAAGAGCTGACTCATTTGAAAAGACCCTGATGCTGGGAAAGATTGAAGGCAGGAGGAGAAGGGGATGACAGAGGATGAGGTGGTTGGATGGCAACACCGACTCAATGGACATGAGTTTGGGTTGACTCTGGGAGTTGGTGATGAACAGGGAGGCCTGGCGTGCTGCAGTCCATGGGGTCGCAAAGAGTCGGACATGAATGAGTGACTGAACTGAAGGTTTTTGACACATACAGCTAAACTGACCATTGCCTTACTTTATTTCCAGTGTTTTATTTCCACTTTCTGCCTGTACTCCTCAAATATGACCCATTTCCTGGACACTTGGAGTCTTACACAACATAAACTGTAAGACGTACTATGGAGCAGTGAAGAGGGCACTGGGTTAGGTGTAAGGAAACATGGGTTTGATTCCAGCTTGATCACTTACTAAATCTATGACCTAAATGACTGAGCTTCTCACTAATTCAGTATCTCCATACGGAAACAGGGCTCATGACACCTATTCTCTCTTCTTCCCAGAGCAGTTGTAAAGACGAAACAAAGTGAGCAAAAAAAAAGTAAAATGATCTTTAAAAAATTTTTATCCCTAGACTGACATAGGGCAATATTACGCATACTTTGGATACTTAATGTCCTGAACAGTACAGTTACTGAAAATAATTAACAATAGGAGCCAGGCAGCTAGCTATTCAGTTTGGTAATTTCCTCCCTGCAAAATATGATAAATTATCCAACACATCTCAGTAAAAGTCACAGATCATACCATTAAGCAAATAACAGTTTATCTAAAAGATGTCTTAGGCATTCCCAAGAAATGAACACTTTTAAGTTAAGTACAATCTATTATGTAATAATCACAGTCTTATGATATAATTACAGCAAATATGCTAGTGTATAACACATAGCTTCCTACAAAATTGGTGGCCACAAGAGATGTGGCTAGTAACACAAATTGACTTCTCAAGCCTAAGTGGCCAAATCCTGATTCTGAGCCTCCACTTCCTCATTGCAAAAGCTCAGCAAACTTAGCTTGATCTGTGATCTGCAACCCTGGTGGCACACAAGACCATGTCTGCTTCAAACCAATGATGCCCAGGCCCCGCCTTCCAGAGCATGTGATTTATTTGAACTGACATACAATCCTGTGCACTGGTTTTTACCTGTTTTCATTCGAACAAACTCCTGGTGCACTGGGAGAACCAGCAGGCTAAAAATGATTGCCATATTCCTTTTTTATCTAAACATATGTGTGTATGTGTGTATATATGTATAATATAGTCAGTCACTTAATACATATTATGTACAAGGCACTCTACTGAGTATAATGTTGAAAGTCAATGAAGAACAGTTTATCATGCATCTCATGGAACCTACACTTGAGTAGAAAGACAGAAGTAAACGACTGCAGTTCTATGGAGTCAGGGCCTGGCTATGAATGGGTAAAAAAGGAAGGAAGGGAGGCTCCTAATGAGAGAAACTCACATGAGCAAACTCAGAATTAGCAAAGTACTGGATAAAATCAGAAGAACATAGAAGCCAGAGGCTAGGATATCTCCTGGTTGTCAATATTAAGGCTGGAAGGTAGACTGGGGTCAGAATCTTCAATTCTAGTTTAGGAAAACTGGTTTGCCGCTTTTTTTTTTTTTTGAAACTAGGCTCCTGAGTTTATATATTTGCTACCTGCCAGCTATGTGCCCTATACAATTTATTTAAAATCTTCATGCCCTGTTCATAAAATAGAAATAATAAAAGCACCTACATAGGTTGTTGTAAAAACTCAGTGAGCTCATAAATGTCAAAAGCTTATAACAGTACCTAAAAGAGCAAACTCTCAATGTAGAGTGGCCAGTATTATCATAGCGACTAGCAAACAATGGGAACCACTGCAAATTTTTGAACAGAAGTCTAACATAATCAGAACTATACTTAAAACATTTTTTGTCTATTTTAAAAAATCATACTGAAACACAATGAGTATGCAAGAACATCTATAATAAATACTTGAGAGAGTGTTTTGACAGCATAATATATTCACATTCCCAGTTTCTGTCTATGCTACTCACTCCCAGCTTCCTTTGCAAGAGTCCTCAAGAGGGACTTCCCTGGTGGTCCAGTGGTTAAGACAATGCTTCCACTGCAGGGAGCATGGGTTCAATCCCTGGTCAGGGAACTAAGATCCCAGAAGCCATAGGGCAAGGCCACCCTCCCCTCCTCAAAAACAGGCGAAATAAGGCCCCCCAATGAAAGTTCCCTCCAGAAAAGCAGCAAGGCGCTCCCCCTACCCCATGAAATAAGTAATTGGTAGTATCAGTGCAGATTCCTCATTTAGTAATGCCCCAGCAAGAAAAAACTAGTTATTCTATGTGGGTTCTTGGCACAGCTAATATTAAGTTTAGTTGATTTTAACCCTTTCCATAGAAAACTTTCTGACATCCTAAGGATACACGACACGATTTAATTTAATGACTCAAATTTCATATGAACATCTACTGGACATGTTTCACACACAGATGTGATCAGCATAAATCAGTCCAAGGTGCCATCTCAAACATGAAAAATTTCTTTTTCCCAGAGTTGCACTGGACATTTTTACCTCCTCAGCAGAGCTGCAGTTAGTTTGCTGTGTCCCACCGCCTGCAGAACTCTTCCCAGCTAGGTCTGTTCTCTCCCTCAGCAGGTCCCAAGTGCCCAGTTACCATTCACAGGGCACTCACATCTCCTTGCAACTTCTAGCATCTCTTCAGCACTCTTAGTAATCTATCAACATCCTATCACAACACACCTTAAATGAAGTTGGAAAAAACATTTTGGTTTCAAAACAAACAACAAAAGTATCAAATATATATATTTGTTGAACTTGAGTTCTTTGTGTTTGTATCTCTCACTGTTTGTACCTCTTATTGCTCAAGGCTATCAAAAGTTTGGTCTTGAGAGAGTGGAGATTCTCCTTCTCTGAACCTGTACGGTAAACAGGAGCAACAGACTTGAAAATCACACCATTTTCTCTTTAAAAAAAAAGAAAAAGGTAATCTGAGGTAGGTCGCTTAATCTCAAGGTACCTCTACTGATTTCACAAGAGCTATTTTGAGGAAAAACACACACACACACACACGAAATCAAAATTCAAACCAAATATAAGTTTTTTGCCTGTTTTTGGCAAACTATTTGGGAGAAACAAAGCCTCTGATACAGTAAAGGAACACCAGAGAATCCATATTCAATACGTCACACCAATTACCCATTCATTCTGAGGAACAAGCTTCTCTTTCACCTCTCCCGGTAGAGCCGACACCACTGCTCACTGTGCCGCTGTGCGCCACTTTGGCGCTACAGGACCTGAGCGCTCACGCTGTGCTTCAGGCCTCCCCTGGCGGCTCAGCCGGTAAAGCGTCTGTCTACAGTGCCGGAGACCTGGGTTCGATCCCCGGGTTGGCAAGATTCCCTGGAGAAGGAAATAGCAGCCCACTCCAGTACTCTTGCCTAGAAAATCTCATGGACGGAGAAGCCTGGTGCAGGCTACTGTCCATGGGATCACAAAGAGTCAGACAAGACTGAGTGACTTCACATTCTGTACTTTAGTTATCTCTAAATGTCAATTCTCACATGTCAATTCTCACTAGACTGGTGATTTTCAAAAAGACTAAAATTCTCCAGCAGTTGTACTCTGAAATGTCATGGTCAATGTTACAAATTTTTACGGGTGGAGATGAGACAGCCCTGTTCCATCTGTTTTTGCAAACTTTCAGAAGTAAATATCCACAAAATCTCAATAAAAGGAAGAGATGACTAGAAATAACCGAGTTTCAGTGAATGAAAAAGGAAATTAGGTTTTACAAAATGCCTACCTGCTATTTGCCAAGCATTTCCACATACTTCATCTAATTTTGTATAAACTTCTGTGCTCCCACTGTAGGGGGCAAGGGTTCAACGCCTGGTCGGGGAACTAAGATCTCACATGGTGTGCGGTGTAACCACCTCAAAAAAGTAATATTCTGGATGAGGAAAACAGGGCTCTGATGATTGAATCAGACCATTTTCCCTGTCCCCCCACCCCCCAAAATGAGAAAAAGGACAAAAGATATAGACCAACACAGATTAGACATCTAATTTCAATTACATTCAAGTGCCTGTCCTTCCCTGAATCTTTTATCTTTTCATCCTCATTATGGATAAAGGAAAAGGATCTTCTCTGGGCCTCCCATAATCCCAAAGGACTTCTGTATGAAGCGCCAACTGTTTGGGGGAAGGAGGTGAAGAAACGGTAATTTCCAATTATTTTATATCTCTAACAGGAGAAACTGAGGTGGTATTTAAAATGTATTACCTGGTGGCTCAGACGGTAAAGCGTCTGTCTGTAATGCTGGAGACCTGGGTTCAATCCCTGGGTCGCAAAGATCCCCTGGAGAAGGAAATGGCAACCCACTCCAGTACTCTTGCCTGGAAAATCCCATGGACAGAGGAGCCTGGCAGGCTACAGTCCATGGGGTCGCAAAGAGTCGGACACGACTGAGCGACTTTATTTACTTTACGCAATTGCAAGCTAAAATGAACCTCCATAACAAACTAGATTAAACACAAACTACACCAAAAGCAGTTGAGGGCCTCTATGCAGTTCTTTCAGAGAGATTTCTACAACTGTAGTTTGCCGTGATGTTAATAGGGGGAAAAAAAAAACATCCCAATAGTGGGTGGTATTCTTTCCATAAAATGTTATTGTAGAGTATCACTTACTGATACTGTCATTTCTATATATAAAATTGGAAAAATAATTTTCTTCTCTAATTGGTTGAATTTTTTACAGCTACTGATAGTAGTTTAGAAAAGCTATACGACTATGAACAATTTAACTTCTATGCCTCAGTTTTCTTTTTTGTAAAATGGGACCAGTCTACCTGTCTACCTGTATCTACCTATATCATAATTATCGGAAGTATTAAAGACACTACGTGACACACCTTCTTAACGGTTCCAAAGCATTCCCTTAACTTATCAGTCACTGCTGCTGCTAAGACGCTTCAGTCGTGTCCGACTCTGTGTGACCCCACAGACGGCAGCCCCCAGGCTCCCCAGTCCCTGGGATTCTCCAGGCAAGAACACTGGAGTGGGTTGCCAATGCCTTCTCCTCAGTCACTGCTGCCCAGTGCTAAATACATCTATACACGTTCTTATTCGTTTTCTGCTGATCTGACACAAATTACTGCCACCTGAAGAAGAGAACACCGCACATACCACTAAAGCCATCTGTAAACCTGCTGAAGAGCGCCGGTAGTGCAAACAGTACGCAAGCAAGTCACTGTGTGAAACACGGGAATCTTCAGCTCACGGGTAACACCCTGTGAGAAAAGCTTTTCTAAACTACCAATAACTTTAGAGAAGAAAATTATTTTTTCTATTTACAGAAAATGACAGTTTAAACTATGATATGAAATACCAAAGTAAATGCAGGTCAAAATATGAAGGTATATGATTACTGTTGATGAGTTAGGCTCAAACAAGAATATAAAAGAATATCATTTTTCCTGAATTTTGTGATATATAAAGTATTTGTCAACTTAAAAATATCTGGTGTGATTTATTTTCTCATTCCAGGTAAATATTCACTTTCATACTTAAAAGATAATACATGTAAAATACCTGGCATCGTTTCATTAACATGGTACTAACTTAAGATAATCACGGCAGAAAAAAAAAAGTACTAATATTTTCATTTCAAAACAGAAATACAGGAGACCAGCTAGCTCCTCCCTCATAAAGCCCAGGTTATTTGCCTACATCACTGGTCATTTGGGTAGTGAGGAAACGGTCCAAAAAAATTAAAATACAGTGGAGGAAACAACTCTTAAAGTGTCAGTACCATTTTTGAAGTCTGAGAAGCAGGCATTGTGAAACATGGAAAATTGTGGGAAATCCCGGGAGAAGGTAACTTTGAACGAAGGGGAAGATTTTTCTAAGTTGAAAAAGGTAACTGGGGGACCAGTGGTTCCGGCTCCGCACTTCCTCTGCAAAGGGCAAGGGTATGATCCTTGGTTGGCGTGGCCAGGGAGCCAAATAAATAAAATCTTTGGATTTTTTAAAAAGTAAATGCGCTTATAAAACTAAGTAAAATGGAAACCAGGAAGTGAAATCAAAATTTCACTCTATAAATAATGTAGTCAATTTAGAATTTAAATATTTTGTTTTGGCTTTCTCAAAAGTATAAAACAGCTCCAAAATATATTGGGTGTATTGAATTCTTTTGAATATAATTCAAATTTCCTTAAAACTTTGTCAACTATTACCTACTCAGCAAGAACTGAATAGTTCAATCGTGGAAATTCAACAGTTGACCCTAGTACTCAGCAAGTTAAATCGGAAAACAGCAGAACAGTAACAACAAAAAGCAGAGACTGAAAGAACTAGCAGTAAATCACAAATGTAGATCATTATCAGCAGTTAAACAATAGAAAAATATTTACAAATGTTACAACTATTCTAACTATCCAAAAGTAACTAATTTCACTAAATCATTGTTAGGAATCACCTGTTACTGCTAGTTAGAGAGAAATAAATCTATACACTCAGTCGGAATTGCTGGTAGGACTCCAACACTTCCTGGTATATACACAACTGACTTTTAACCTCCTCCCTTTAGCATCATTGGCTCCCAGAATTAAAGACTCTCGAGTGTTTCCCCGCAGTCAGAGCTCCCTTTACAAAAGATTCTTGCTGAAAACTCCTACCAAAGAATTCACTCTAGGTGATGTGTTCAAAAGAATGCACGGCGGCGAGCGAACTCCCCTAGACAGCAGGCAGCGTTTGAAGGAACTACAAAAACCCGGCCCCGACAGTCGATTTCGCTACTCGTCTTTTTGGTTTTAATCCGCCTGGGGCAGCAGCATAGGTTGGAAGGCGGAGACTGAAACCGCCTGCCAAGTCTCGATCTCGGTCACACAGCGGCAGTGCCTCCCGGTTCACGCCAAGTCCATCCCCCACCCTCTTTCGCCATTCATCGCGTTCCCCTCCCCTCCCCCCATCATGTGACCGCAGCCTGGACTCCAGGCTTGTTTTTCCCCTCAGCTCAACTCCACCGCGCAGGCGCCAAGGAGTCCATTCATTCGAACTGCGTAACAATGAGCCCCGGGGCCCAAGGGCTCCGCGAGCTTCCCAGTTCGGCCCGAGCCCCTCTCGGCCCCCGAAGAGGCGGCGCCTCACAGGAGTCCTCCACCCGCGGCCGGCCGCCCACCCCGGGCCAACCTCCGACCCTCCGCCCACTCGCGGGGAGTTGAAGTCAAACTTTCCTGGGCAGCCCCAGAGTCGCGTCGGCCCCCTTCCCCCCGCTCAGGCCCGCCCCATCTCCTCACCCGGCCCGGCCACCCACCGCGCCACCCGGCCCAGAGCGCCGTCCTCGCAGACGCTTCCCAGCCCCCGCCCCAAGACCCCCACGGACCGCGCCGACGCGAAGCCCAGGTGAGCTCGCGGGAAGCGCCAGTCCGGTGGGTTCGCCGCAGGCCGGTATCGGACGGTTAACTGACCCCGCCGTCAAGAAGAGAAGAGCCGACCCGAGTTCACCCGGCCGCCAGATACCCTCGGGATCCTGCCCCTCCCTTCCCCACCCCCACCCCTTCCGAACAGAAAGACAACAAACCCGCCGCGGAGTATAAGTTGCCCCGGCGCGGGCCGCCCCGGCCGCGACAACACCACCAGCAACTCGCGTATCCCCTCTCCAACTGACGCCGGCCTCCCCGGGGCGCGTTACTGCTCCTGCCGCCGCTCTTAGTCCTCCACCGAAACTTTCCTACTTACCAAACCCGTCGCCATTACCAAGTCTTTCAAGCTTCGTCTTCCCCCCTCCCCTCAAACCCCCGGGGGGTTGAGCCTCCGCCCAGCTCCTTCGCCTTCTTATTGGCCTGCGGCACTGCCATTCGTTCATTTCTCCTTCCTATTGGGTGGTACCGTGGTCCGTCTCGGTGGGCGGGCTTGTGTTGACTTTTGTGTTGTATTTATTGGGGAAGATGGGGTGTCAATCACCAGGGTGAGCGCTTGGGATTGGATTGCTGCCGAGACTCCCGGGGCCCCAGCCAAACATTGCTCCCGAAATGGATTGTGGGTTCGTAGTCTGGGTCTGGCTGTGTTTCTCTCCGAGAGTGCACGTCGGAGGAACGGGTTGGACTACGTATCCCAGAAGTGCGTGCACGGTGCAGTCTTGATAGTAAACAAGAGTCATAGGGACACGTGTATCAGCTCGTTTGTTTTGGTGTCTGGGACAAAAAGGAGGGGGCGGAGGAAGGGAGTGTTTTAAAGCTTTGGCCTCTTCTCTTCCTTTGGGCCTGTGCTTGCACTCGGAGCAGCCTCAAGCCTCTCGCAGCACCCATTCCGGGCCATAAACAGCCAGAGTCGCTTGCGGCTCAGATTTTGGCAAGAGGCCAAGGTATTGTTTTAGTGCGAGGGGAAGGAGATGACTGCACAAGCGGAAGCACTGCTGCCTCGAGGGGGACCCAGTCACCCAGAAATCACGGCCCCAGGCATGAGAGGGATAATAAAGGTGGTGCTGGGGTCCAGTGGGAAAACTTAACATTCCTTTATCCTGAGCCTGGCTTCACCCCTCCCTGGACAGCAGCTTGAAATTTCTCTGCCGACTCTGTTCAGTTCACCCGAGATTTTTTGAATGCCGGCTGCGTGCCAGGCACCGAGACGCTTGGGGATGAACAATGAGAGAGAAGCTCGAAGGTCTGGGCAATTTACAAAACTGTGAAGCGGGAGGTGGGGTCATACTGTTGACTTTGGAATTGAGGAAAGGCAAAAAGATGTTTTCTATATTGACCAGCTTACTCGTTGTTTAAGGTAATACGGAGGGGTATAATGTGTGACGTAAACTGATGTAATTTGTGAATCGTTATCAGGGTTTCTCTGGTGAGTTTCTGTTTAACCATTTTTCCTCTTCCAGAGGTCTTCCCATTGATGAAAGAAGAATGTCTTCCTACTTAGTTTCCACTAGGAGTTCCTCCTTAATTTACGAATTCTCTGACTCAAGGGAGGAGGATGGCTCTTCTGGCTTTATAGTTACCTTCATTTTAAACAAGGCTGTCCAGTTCCTAATCTATAATTGATGTTTTTACCATTCTCATTACAAAGGCATTATTACGCTTTTTCCCCTTTGAACTTTTAGTGTTTAGTCATTTAAGCTATGTTTTAGGTTTTATATCTTTAGATCACTATATGTATGTTTAAGAGGAGGAAAATATACTAGAGAGAAATCTATAAAGTCAAACTTTTGGAAAGGAGCCTTAAATCCTTGCTGGTGATTCCTTTAAAAATCCCTACTTTTCTTGAATTTTTAAATCTGAAAGCCACGGAACAAATACGGAAATCCAAAGTAACTTTCTGGTACTGAATCAAGTTTTCAAATTCTTTTAAGGATTCCCTGTTTGAATCCTTAAAGGGAATTATTTATAGAATAGTCCTCCCTACCATGTGATCAAAGATGCACATTCTCTATTCACAAATAGTAATCAAATTATTCTTTTGTTTCTTAAAAATAATCCAGAGGGCCGATAAAATGCCTAAATTTTTCCCCGAGTAAAAAGGACAATATTTGTATTTATCTTAGTTCAGAGATTAATGGAGTGACCTCAAGACTCTACTGTGGCCCTGCTCTTTTGTGTATTTTATTTTCTTTCTTCACTTTTTTTTTATAGTGGAGGTTCATTGTGCCTCAGATTGAAAAATGGAAAATATGAACTCTCCAGTGTTTAATTTCCTGACAAAAAGAAAAATCCGTGGAATTCACTTGATCATTGAAAACTAAAATCTGAGCTATTAATGACTAGCTCCCTCCAGGAAACTAAAAACCTTTCCTATCACCCAAAAAATGAACTCTCAAGAGCTGGTACCACACCTTTCCCCCTGCCCTAGCCCCCCAGCACACACACACTGCATGAACCATGAGATCTGGTTTTGGCTGAACCTTAACTTATTTTAAAAGGTTTTCTATTTCAAAGCGTTTACTAAAAGCCTTAGTGGAGATTTTTTTTTGTCAACACAGTGGTAGGAAGAATAGCACCTTCAGATCAAGCTGTTGTACATTATTAGAAATGATTATCTTTTATTAGCACTATAAAGGTTTTCCTATCCATTCATTCAGAAATACCTATTTAGTTCCTACTATTGGTTGACCACTGTGCTAATTCATATGGATACAAAGATATAAAATATTTTCACATACTCTCATTTTTGTCCATGTCATTAAAAAGAAGAGTAAAATTCTCTTGAGTTAGTTCAGTCATAACTGATTAAATGTCAGTGTTAGAATCTCTGTACCTTTAAGTGGACAATTAGTCCATCTTTGGACTCTCCTGGGAAGCTAAATGCTTACCTTGTGCACCTTATGTATATTTAACAGGAACCTCACTATTCATTTTTGGGTGACTAAGAATACCAGCCAACTTAGCCAGAACAAAGATCAAAGTACAAAACCAGTAAGATCTCCTCAGAATTCTTTACATATATAAATTCTACTTCACTGAAATATATATAATTTTTGTACCAATTCCTTATTATTTGTATATGATAAAATATAAAATGACATTTATATTTTATATAATATAAAATATTTTGGCTGATAAAGAATCTGCTTGCCAATGCAGGGGACACAGGAGACATAGGTTCCATCCCTGGGTCAGGAAGCCCCCCTGGAGAAGGAAATGACAACCTACTCCAATATTCTTGCCTGGGAAATCTCATGTCAGAGGAGCCTGATGGGCTCCAGTTCATAGGTTAGCAGAATTGGACACGACTGAAAAGAACATTTGTTCATAACATACTTCCATGATAAAACTGACATTAAAAAATCAATTTTGGGAATTCTCTGGCAGTCCACTGGTTAGGACTCAAAGCTCTCACTGCCAAGGCTGTGGGTTCAGTTCCTGGTCAGGGAATGAAAATCCTACAAGCTGTAACCAAAAGAAAGTTCAAAAATAAAATTTTCTTTAAATATACTTCTGGTCAGTGCAAATACCATATACACACATACATATTCCACATACACTGTGCCCAAATATGTCAAGAGTTGTCATCCAAAATAAAAATGTCTTCAGCAATTCGTAAAATACTTCTGTTTTCATAAGGAAACATCCAATTCTATTTTGTTTTTTAAAAACTTGATAAAGCTTATTTAGGGGTGAAATTACTGTATTCCAACACAGTTGGCATACCAATGACTACTGGGCTAAGAAACATAGAAGTTAAAGTACATGGCATTGCTTAAATATGTAAAATATTGCTGTTCAAAATGTTAGAAGGTAAGCAAGCAAATGAAGTCAAGTACTCAAATTAGGAAATGGAACACAAATTTCGACACATTTTTTCTCACGTCTATTTGGTATGCTAGGCCTTTCTCTGTGTATTTTCTTTTAGTTACCAGTCCAAGGTAGCTAATTTTAGATAAAAAGCCATTAAGATCACAGGAGTAATATGTACTTAAATGTGTGGTGTGTGCTCAGTCGCTCAGTCTGATTCTTTGCGGCCCCATGAACTATAGTCCACCAGGCTCCTCTGTCTGTAGGATTCCCAGGCAAGAATACTGGAATGGGGTGCCACTTCCTCTCCTCCAAGGGATCTTCCTGACCCATAGATTGAACCCGTGTCTCTTTTGTCTCCTGCATTGACGGGCGGATTCTTTACTACTACACTGAGTCACCTAGCAAACCATTTAAATGTGCTACACTGAACCTTATTTTCTTAACATTTACCTCCCTCCAAATTCACATTATTTCTTCCTTCTATATTTCTTATGCATCTTTTTGTCTGGTCCATATCATATGCATCGTTTTGCCCAGGCAGTCAATATTATAGATGACCTGCTGAACAGATGAATAAAAGGAAATAAGAAGATACATTTTCTTATTAATATATATGTTACTTTGTATGTCCTAAGTTGTTTTGAACACTGACCCCATTAAATATAGTTTCTGTATGCTTTGTGTCACTTGCTGTGTCTACTCATCACCATTTTTTTGAGAACAGATACCATCTTACTCTCATAAGAACTATCTTGTAACTTGTTTTGATTCCCTTATGTACCAGTCACAAAGGCAGGCAATATTTGTCTAATTAATACACTCCAGTTCCTTCAAATTACATAGCATATCATAATGTGCACTATAGTAAAAAAGTGGAGGATATTTCGGTTCAGCTTTGAAAAGCAATTAAGAAAGAAAAGACTTGCCAAAGATGTCTTTATAGTGAGCACCTCTTCTAATTATTTGGCTTTTAAAAATGCCATTTGTATACATTTCAAGAATACAGTCATTTTGTAATGAGAGATTCACTTGTATTAAATGCCAGCCTTCCACCTAAAAGCGGTAGTGCAGTTCCAGGGGTCCAGGACTCACTCTTGTTCCTCAGCAGGACTGTGATCGTGGGAAGGTTTAGGGCAGAGATGGAAGATCAGCAGTTAGAAGCAACTTTATCCAAGGTTGTGCCTGAGCATATTTACTGCTCATGAACTCATTCAAAGGTTCTACTTGGTAAGCTTTTATCATGTGAAATATAAGACAATGAGGGTTCCATTTCTGGGTGGTTACAGTCAAAAGTGAAGGCAGCTTTTGTCATTTCAGAGTCCATTTCCAACTCATTGAGCTTCCCTGGTGGCTGAGTAGGTAAAGAGTCCACTTGCAATGCTGGAGACCCAAGTTTGATCCTGGGTCAGGAAGATGATCCAGAGAAGGAAATGGCAACCCATTCCAGTTTTCTTGCTTGAGAAATCTCATGGACAGAGGAGCCTGGCGGGCTAGTCTATGGGGTCACAAGAGTCAGACAAGACTTAACAACTAAACTACCCTAACCCCCTGGTGCCTGGGGAATAAAACCATTTTTTCCAGTTTTTCCCAAAGGCAAGTGCCTGATGCACAGTGAGACCAAAGGGGCTGGGAGCAGAGAAAGGTTTAGATTTACTGCAGGCCAAGCAAGGAGAATGGGCACCTCATGTTCCAAGAACCCCAAACTCCCTGGTGGGGTTCAGGGAAGAGTCTCTAAGGGCAAGATTTGGGGTGAGGACACAGGGTGTGTGACTTTCCACTGATTTGCTGGCAGGTAACAGGAATCTTGGGTTCAGCCTGAAGTTACCATGCTCCCCCTGCATGGGAGCCTTAGTTCCTGCAGAAGAACTCAGAGATGTATCAGATGGTTATGAATGTATCTCTTCAAGGGAAACCACAATCCTGCCCTTCCTCTGCACTGTTATTTCTTCACTGCTTTTCCTTTCTTTTCCCTAATGAGTAACTTTGAATCTGCCCTCTGAAAATCAGGAAAGATCGAGGAAGCTGAAGCTTTTTCCTACAAACAAGAAACAGGACGCGAAAGGTTTCTGTACCCCACAGGTCCTGCTTAGTTTCACAACTGAGAATAATAAATGCATCTACTTTAAAGTCGTTTATAATTGGTACTAACAAAACATTTCAGGTATTTACATGTTGCAGTGGCTTGAGTTTTTCAGGAAGATGGCAAGACTCAAGCTGTGGTTAAATCAAAATGTGGGAACACCACCTAAGAAATGACACTTCATTTTTATGGCAGAGACAGTTACCTCCGTAAGGTCCACCATCACATCTTTCCATATATAAACGTTACCTTTCCAGGATTTCCTTAGCAACTTTAAATTTACAAACTTAAAGCATAAAAAGGGACAGAAAGACCCAGATCTGTTGGTCAAAAAGTCTTCCTTGGAAACTGTACACATTTGTCTATATACCAGGCTCAATTGCATCATTATTCAGAGAATACGAGTGTGGACAAAAGTAAACATTTCAGTAAACGAAATGTTGCCTGCCCTCAAGCCAGCAGCCATTGCAGTCACCCCTTGCACCCTGAGAGGAATTCAGGATGGAAAAAAAACCAGGATACTGGCCCTAGATGGTTAACATGCATATCAAAGCAGTAATTTCAATGAGCCAAGACTCCTGTAAACCCCCACACATAGAAAACCACTAAAATCTTTTAACTTGAAATATCTATTTTTGTGTGTGATTAGCAATGATCTTTTGATATCTGACTACATTTTTTTTTTGGTCTTTTTCAGCAAAAACTCCTGTGTATCCTGTCTCCTCCCTTACCTCTTTGGAACAGCCCCTCAGGGTTATCTGAAAGGCTGTTTCCCCAGGCTATAGTCCTCAGTTAAAGTCTGTAAATATAAATATCTCTCTCAACTTTTAGGCTGTTTCGGGCTTTTGTTTGTTTGTTTGTTTTTGTTTTTTTCCCCAGTTGAAGTATGAAGCCAAGAATTGCAGGGGGGAAGCAAGAGAATCACGATTGCCCATGAGTTCTGCCGTGGATGCACAAAGGAAATGATTTTGGTGGAGTCATGGATTTTTCTTACACAAATGAAACTGATTTAACTTCTTGTAGTGACTAATGGGCACGTCTTCCACAAACACCTGGTTTACCTTACTGCTTTCATTTCCGTAATTCATTTTACTTTCAAGGTTTTTTTTTTTTTTAATACCCGTAAAGACTATTTACTAACAACTGTTTAGTTTCAGTTGCTCAACCAGTTTTGCTGCCTTGAAAAGGATCCTGGAGCAGGTAAGAGTTTGTCTCAACTCTTGCTCCAATTTCTTATCAGAATTCTTTCTGATACTCAACATGAGGCTGTACCTCACACATTTATTTTAGAAGCCAGCATTCCTTATTATTCTATTTTTCCCTTATTTATTTTCTGCCACATGTGTTAGTAATTCTGTTTCTCCCTTAGTTATTAACATTTTATTTAGATTTGAGGCTCTTTTCCAGTTGTTTAAGCTGGATAGTACAGCTCATCCAGATGTGTTACTTAGCACTCTAGGCTTATACATTATTAATGTTCTTTAAGAATGCCAAAGCCCATCTAGTCCTTGTTGGAAATGTAACATTTCTTGAAAAAAATTAGGAAAAATTTTATTCATATTTTAAAGATGCTTTAGAAAGAAAAAGGACTCAGCACTTAATCCTACATATTCCAATAAAATCGGAAGTTCCTTGCTTCATGCTGTATGTTTCACTGGCAGAATTTTAAAGCATTTTAAAGAGTCTGCTAGCCAGATTTGTAAGAATAAACCAAACACATTCACACAGCATGTGTCCCAGGTAGTGTTTTATGTTTATACGCACCAAGCCCTAGTTTGTATCAACAGGACACACACACATATAAAACAAAGAAGAGCACCTTTGTATTAAAATTGAGAGTCCTCCCAGAATTCTGAGTCATACATGATACATGCTTGAATGAAACATCAACAGAGAATTTCCAAACAGAAAGACTCTTGGTTAGTGATTAAACAGTGGCATCCACAACTCAAACTTGTGGTGTTTTAATTACTTTAACACATACATTCCCTAGTTATCCAAACTTACTTGGTTATTCTAAATGGCTGAATGAGTCTGCAACATATCACAACTATCTATATCACATATAACCAATAGTTAAGATTTTTAAAAACTCTTGTCCTACAGAACCACACTTTCTTGCTGCAAGATGCCCAGATCTTACCTTTCTTTCCATATATGCAGTACCTCTCTCATGCACATCACATGGTATAATGTGCACTATGGAAGTCACAGTAAAGAAACAAGGAAAAAAAAAACCTCGATAATAACATTTTATTATAAAACTGTGCTTTATTATAAGGAAATTTTAAATATAACCAACAATACTGAAAATAATGTAACTGGCATTTACAGCCTTGGTCAGAGTTCTTTATTAAACAGGCATTTGTAGTTAACAATTAGCTTATGCAACAAAATAGGTAACTTGAAAAAGTGAAGGAGGTTGAAAATACAGAATGATGAACCAGGAATTTGGGGTTCTTTGTGTTTTTTCTTGTTGAGTAGACATGACTTTTAAAATCTGAAATATTATAGAAAACAAGTCTGCACGCAGTAAGCTCTCTTCCCGTGGGAAAGTTTGCAAAGTGGTTAAAACTCTCCTAAAATGTGGCTGAAGGTACACTTTACATACTTCTTATATATACATTATCCAGTTCACGTATCTTAACCACATTTTCATTATACAAGCAAGACCAGAAACATTCTCTAATAAGACCACACTAGCCACAGAATTTTTTTACCCATGTATATATTTCTTTGAAACATATTTCCCAAAATGAAATCGCTGATTTATAAGGGAACAACTGGTTAGAATTAATGTCTCTAGACACTGGGGTCACGTAGTCCTAGAACTCATGTGAGAGTATACTGCTTTGGTGGAATGTAGTTAATTCATTTTATGTAGCAGGATAATAAGCATTATTAAGTATCAACAAAAATCTGTTCAGCTGAGTTCATTCTGCATTTGCAGAATGAAATGAATGCAGTTGAGAGTCTGCATTAAAGCAAGTGGCGAGGCCTAATGGTATACTTGGAATGGGCAGAAGTTCCTTTTATCCTTATATATGTTTTACTTACAAGAATTTATTTCTCCCACTTTGGAGGAAACCCATGGGAGCAGATGTCTGCAAGGATTTTATTACACATGTCTAGTGAAGAACAAAGAAATATCTATGGGCATGTTGACAAGGACCCCAAATATTTTTGGTATAGGAGACTTTTTCTTTTAGCATATATAATAAGATCTTAGGCTTTTAAAAGACAACAATTAAGTTTAAAGAGCATTTAAAAATATTTGTGACATGTCAAACAAATTTTTAAAGATAACAAATACAGAGAACTGCAAAAATGAAAAAGGAAGCATAGATAGATGCTTTATGAGGAAAATAATGACCGTTCTTCTAAAGACGCTGTCCTGTTGTTGTAATGACTAAACTGCCTGTCCTTAAAACCACTGGAATATGTAGGTTACTGACATTATACCCAAGAAGTCAAAAGGTACTTTATTGCAAAAATATAAAAGGTTTTAAAATTGCATATGATGTTTTATACCATTTCACCAATAGGCCAAGGCCAGCACATAACTTATCAAGCCAGAAAAACTAAAACAAAAATGGTTAAATTGTACTTACTATATATAGTGAGTTGTAAAAAGAATGTGATGCCATGCTGTATAGCATGATTCACTGCCGAGTTCCCTTTTACACAGGTGTAGTCATAACACATCAATCTGAGTAAGTCAAAATGAATACACATCGCCTATGATAACATCCTTTAATTATCTTCTTAAACACAGATACTTTCAATATATTACAATCATCTGAATAAATCTTTCAGTCAAATCATAATTTTGTGGAGTAGAAAGTCATTTTATCAGTATGTTGATATTTTTTTATCTACTCTTTTTAGAAAGTGATGTTAAAGCCTATTGACTATTAAATATCTATTCTGTTTACTGATACATTGTAAATGTAAAAAAAGGAAAAAACCTGAAATCACAGAAAATGCTTGGCATCTACACAAACACATTCTCAGTGGACTAACCACTACTGTGTAATTTTGTCACTAGAGGTCTTCTTGCTCCAATACTTTTGCTTCATGCAGTGGGTTCAACAATATCCATGTTTGTTCCAAACAGGGCAACTAACTGCTCTTCATAGGTAGCGATGTTCCTTTTCATAATTTCCATGCAAGGTCCCAAAAGCCTTTCAAATGCTTGCACATCCATGGCTAAGAAGAGGGGAGAATAAAAGAAAAATAACATTCTTTACAAATCTGGAATTTCTAAGTCACTTATGGTACCTATTTCACATACGTCAATGATGCAATGGCATTTTTGCATAAATATCAGATACAAGAAAAAGGCATAAAGATAAAAACATTCCACTTCAAAAAGGAAGCAGCCAGTGGCCCGTGGCCATATGACGTTGTATTGGAAGTTCCTGATCCAGGTTAAAAGAATGAGGGATTGTTATGGCAAGACCTTGGAATTTTAAAAAATAAATTCGTTTTTATGTCACCACTTCAGCAGTATGAACTCAAGGGCGGCAAGGTAGTGTTTTCTATCTTGTTTTCCCTTCTCAGGGTATACAATGCAATGTTGTGAAGACCAAATGTTGCCTTTTATAATTTTTTACTCTTTTATACTAGGGTCTAATCAATTCAAAATGGCAGCCCAAGTAATGATTTTGTCCACTTCTGTAAGTATGTGCTCTATGTTGCTTAGATTGCTTGTCTCAAGCATTTTTAAAAACAATGTATATGAAAATATGATCATACTATCATTGAAATACAAATTAAAATTCTTTTTTTTTTTGCTTCTTAGATTTATAGAACTAAAAAAAGGCAGTGTTTACAATAGAGTGAATGGTAATTCTTGCACTGCTGGCAGCATGTAAATAAGTGCAAATACAAGTGATCTGGCAATAGATATCAAAAACCATAAAAAGAAAACCCACTTCCAAAAAGCATTTCTCAGGAAAAATCCTATTAAGTGAAAAAGTAGTATATGCATACACCCCCACAGAAAAGCTTTCCCTCACCCCGCAAGCAAAATGGAGCCAAAACTCAAAAATTATGTACAGTGGGAAGTGATTAAATAATTCAATGTGTATTTAACCAATGTTACAATTTGATGTAATAAACATGAGAAAATGCCTAAGTTATAATGAATAAAAGAAGCAGTTTACAAAACTGACCTAAAAGTGAAAACCCATACAAATAAAAAAGGATGATAAGGAATTATAATAGGATGTGGAAATTGCTGGGTGGTGGTGGTACTGGGTGACTCTTAGTTTTTCCTACCTTTCTGTATTTCTCAAATTTAATGTGAATATATATTTTATTATAGGAAAAAAGTAATGGGATTTCACTCACAGCATCTTTACTCCCTACTGTGTAACACCTCTACTCAGGGAAATTATCTGTCAGCTTCTAAATTTTTCTTTGTCATCCAAGTGTAACACTAGAGTATTATTATACTTATTTAAAACCATTTAAAAAACAACTTCTCTAAGAAAATTCTGGGGATACTTACAAATCTTAACACTGAAGCTAAATTTATTCTACTGAACTGTGGATGAAGAGTACAGAGAAGCTAATTACTTTTTAAACTTAATTTTTATTGGTGATAGTTGATTTACAATGTTCATTCCTTTCTGCTCCACAGCCAAGTGAATCAGTTTATATATATACATATATCCACTTTTTTTAGATTCTTTTCCCATACAGGTCATTACAGAGTATTGACTAGTTTTCTTAAAGAAAATGTCATCTGTATTAATATCTCCTGAGTTACAGTTTTCATTACTAAAATAAGTTATTTCTCACATATAAAATCTCTGCTATATGTAGATGCCTTCCAGCTTAAGATGGCACTTCTGTTCATGGCATTTCTGTGTGGTACACAGAAGTAATAAACAGCCGAACAAGACTTCTATTGTGCCATGACAAACTTGGACTTTTGTTTCCTAATCCCAGGATGAGTAAGTATTCCTACAGACATCCCAATTTCCCCTGCAGAGCTTAGTATACCTTATAAAAGTGCTGTTTGAGGGGTTTTTTTTTTAGCAGAAATGGAACACAGTGCATGTTGTTCATTTGAAAAATTAGATGTAAAGCTTGGTACTCAGAATTTTTAACAACATACTAAAATGTTATTTCATGCCTATAAAAAAGAACAATATATATGTGTGTGAAAATCTTCTAAGAAGTTGGCTTCTACAAATTGACTTTATAGTACAATGAATCCTAATCTTCTATTTTGTTGGGACCGTAAAACCTGTGAACCCAGTAAAATAATCAGTGTGACGCTGAATACGTACAATGCACACAGAAGGATTTCAACTGGGGCAAGTGTGCCCTGGGCCGTGAGTCCTACCTAAACATTTGACGGTCCCGATGGCGTGTGCGGAAGCGGCTCGGGGCTTGTTCGTTACCAGAGCCAGTTCGCCGAAGTACTGCCCTCGAGAGCACCGAGCGATTTCAACTGCACCATTCTCCTCCACCTCTGACTTACCCTGACAAGGTGATGGAAAGTGTTAGCTTTCACTCAGCTTAAGAAAAACAGAAGTGAAGCTTAGTCAGGAGAAAAAAAAAAGTCTATTATGTTACGTGCTAATATTTCATGGATTTTTAGGACTTACCTTCCTTTTCATGGTAATTTTCACTTCTCCAGATTCTACAATGAAAAAAGAATCAGCCAACTCTCCCTGTCAGAACAAAAACAGAGGGTGAAAAATGCAACTTTAGTTGACAGCAATCCTGCTGCCCACCATACCTCTGAAATCAATCCCATGCCAGTTTATAAGGTGAAACTCCACAGAACAGGTTATGGCCCCTCCTAAGTTGAGATGTTATGATCAACAATTATAGTGTAACAATTTCATTTGTAAAATCATCTGAAATGATATACTATCTACTATAGCATTTCTGCTAAAACTCTCAAGAAAATATAGCAACTAACACCAAGGTATGAATTTCACTCAAACTGCAGCCTGGATAAAGCACAGACACGGTCAGAAATGCGAGCACTGTTTCCCAGTAGCATCGCCTCTGTCAGCTGCTTCTATGCTGAGATGTGCCACGCTGGGTCATTCCTAACCTACAAAGCCAGAGCATGCGACCCAAGATAACGCAGCAGCTCCGAAATTGGAGAGAGCAGACAGACTAAGCAGTGTCTGTGGGCCCTGAGGCCTGTCCTGCAGGTGGCTGACAGCCCACCTCAAGGCCCAGAAAGACTTCTAAAAGAAAGCGTTGCCATTTCTAACTACATAGCTGCGTTTTCTTGTTTCCTTTTTTAAACAAACTTCCTTGACTTCCAGTGATGCCTTATGAATTAAGTAATGTAATACGAAAGATGACATTGACTTTCCTAAGCCTCTCAAAGTGATTCTGGAGAAACTCAGGTATTTCAAAACTCTTTACTACAATTGAAGAAATACAGTATCAGATTAAAAAACATCATAAGGAATGCAGAGTCTCCATTATACTATAGTGCAGACATGTATGTTTATAAACGCTTGAAAGACAACTATCTAGATATACCTTTAATAAACTCAGAATACATATGTCTTTTCCCTTACTTTTTTATCAGGCTTTCTATAAGAGCTTCATGCTAAATATTCAAGTGTCTTAAATCATAAAAGGTCTATCAACTACCATTAATTTCACTTTTAAAACATGCTCAAATTGCATGTAAAACTAATGAGTTAAGTTCCATTGTTGGTGTCAATGTCAGTTTGCTAGTTTTGATGTACTAGTGACACAAAATGCACTGGAAAATTGGGCCAAGAGCACATGGGACTTTTTTTTTTTTTTGGCAGCATGCCAAAAATGAATCTATAGTTATTTCAAAATAATTTGAAAAAGTCATTTCAAAAGTGCTCTATGCTTTGCAGTTTTTCAATTTGTATCATGGAATCTCAGCCTTGTTCTCTAATTTGACAGATTGGGGGTGGCAGTGGAGGAGGACTGACTGATTTACTTGTTTATCTGCCTTCTAAACTAATTCTTTTCTCAGCCTCACAGACCTTGAATCTTGTTTCACATGTATGAAGAGAGACAATATTTTAGATAAATATTACAACATAGTATAATATTGATAGGAAAATCACAGAATTTGTTAAAAACCTATTTTTTAAAGTCTTTATTGAATTTGTTATATAAACTGCTTCTGGGTTGTTTTTTTTTTAAATGTTTTGGGTTTTTGGCCATGAGGCATGCGGGATCTTAGCTCCCCAACCAGGGATTGAACCCGCACCCCTAGCTTTGGAAGGTGAAGTCTTAACCACTGAACACCAGGGAAGTCCCTAAAAAAACCTGTTTAAATCATGCAGTCAATGCTTCAAACTGTAACTAGGAAATTAGTAGTATCATCGATATGCTTTTATATGTAAACTTGACCCATCTCTATAAATCCTACTTCTGGGTAGGTTTGTTCTAACCAATATATGTGTGTATTGCTTCAGGTTCCAAGTGGGATTTGAGAAAAGCATTATGGGTTCAAGAGCATGCTGGCCCCCTCAGTGCCTGGCAGCCAGTGAAGTACATGGTGCAACGTGTCCCCTTCTTGGTTAATTTCACCAGGAGGAGGTTTCACCAATGAACTGATTGTGCAGAACTTTACACCTTCCAATGCACCTTCTGGGTCCTTATTAATAAATGCTATGGAACGATTGCCAGTTTTTTCCCTGTTATGAATGACATCTTAATTCTCTATATACATGTGACCTTCATGTCTGGTACAAATATAAAATTATGCCTAAATCCATTGGATGATTTAATATATATTCCTTAAGATTTAATTTAAAATAAAAACATTCAGATATCTTGATGGCTATAAATTAAGCCATTTTTAATAGATTTGGCAGGAAATAATTATATTAATCTATCACTACATACTAATTATGGACACATGAAAATTTTATTAAAGACTTAGAATATATAAGAATCTTTTGGAAAATAACCTCAAACTGAGCTCCATAAAAAGTATTATACCTGAGCAATGATTTGTTCTCCATCGTTGTATACTTTGGTGCCTATCACATCTACCACTTTCAGGCGTTCAGAAACCTATAAAGGAAAAAAAATACAGTTGACTCCTCAATGATATGGGTTTGAACTGTGCACAGTCCACTTATCTACAGATTTTTTCCAGTAAATATACATTTGCCCCTCCATACCCACAAATGTGGAACCCAGGGCCATGGAGGGCCTGCTGTAAGGGACTTGAGTGTCTGCAGACTTTGGTATCCACCAAGGTCCTAGAACCAATCCTTGTGGAAACAGATGAACAACTGTATGAAACAAACTAATCAGGTAATCTTAACTATTCCATGGGTTTAAAAATAGTAGCCTGCAGGCCAAATACACTGAGCAATGTGTGTGTTTATGTGTGTGTTTATATTAATAAACCTAATTAATATAAAAAGCACAATCGCTCGGTGGTGTCCAACTCTTTGTGACTCCATGGACCTGAGGCTCTTCTGTCCATGGATTTTACCAGGCAAGAATACTGGAGTGGGTTGCCATTTCCTACTCCAGGGGGATCTTCCCAACCCAGGGATCGAACCCATGTCTCCTGTATCTCCTGCATTTGTAGGCAGGTTCTTTACTCGCTGAGCTATCAGGGAAGCCCCATTATATGAATTACTTGCCAGCATTTTAAACAAATTTTTCATAAAAACTTGCATTCCAGCTTCTCTTGAAAAATCAGAACTGCCAGCAACACTCAGCCTATATTTCCATGTGGCATAAATAAACTCTGGGGGACTAGCAGCTGTTTCTTAAGATGGAGCACATGCTCTCCAGTTTACCAAAGTCCCATCCTGGCTTGGTTTTCTTCTTTGTTACTTGCCTAGCTCTGAAGGCATTTGAATTTCCGACTCTGACCTATTTTTACTTAAAGAGAGCTGCTGCTGGAGAAGATGAGCTGCCCAATATGCATTCTGAAATGAGGCCCAAATTTCTACAAGGTGAATACTGACAAGCCAACACAGGGACATGTCAGCAGGTAGATCTGTCAACCCCAGGGATTCTGGCCGAGAGGCTAGAAGGATGGTATTGCTATCAGGCAGGGAAGAGAAGGAAGGATGCTTGGGACATGTCGGTTTGAGATATCTTTTAGATATCCCAGAGGAAATGTTAAATATGCAGTCAGATAAACAAGCCTGGCATTCAAGGGTGGGGCCTTGCGCAGTGATGTCAATTTTAAGAGGCATCAACATAATAGACATTTAAAGCCAGGGGATTTGACAAGTACTGCACGGGAATAAGTGCAGCCTGCAAAAAGAAAGAGAGACCTTGGGATGCCAATTTTAAGAGGAAAGGAATACGGAAGCAGAGGCCAGTGAGACATTCTGTGTTTAGATAACCTCTTCCTGTAAAGGCCACTGCCTACATTTATGTGATTAGTTTAAGTCTGCTTTTAGAAAAAGACCTTACATAAATCTGCTGTAGCTGCTCCCAGGAGTCTGTTATGTGTAAACAACAAAATAGATGCAGTTACAGACAGTAAAAGAAATATTAAGCTATTAATGTAATCTTTTCAAGTGAAAATATGGATAGATTATTATTCAAAGAAACCTTCTGCAGAGCTAAGTATTCCTAACAAAACAGAAGCTTTTAAAGCAAAATAAAATAAAAGCACAAACATACTTACTTCCAAAGATTTAAGGAATGGCAGTGACTCGATAAAGCTTTCATACATTTTTCTCTTTTTGGCATTATTTTTTACAATTATCCTCCTGAAGGTTACCCTGTCCTAAAGGCAGAATATCAAATACGAAGACAATTAAAAGGTAGACTTTATGGGGAAAAAAAGTTTGAAGAGACAGTTTCATTTTATTCCCTGTAAGAAAGAAACAATAATTGAATATTTTCAAAATAAAATATTATTATTATTATACCTCTAGTACAACTCATTTCAGATTTTTATTTCCTTAAGCATGAATACAGAACCATATAAAATGTTATTTTCATGCTTTTGAAAGAAAGCAACAGTTTACTTTTAATTCAGAACAGGGATCTGACCAACATGTAACTAGCGGGCTAAACCCACGAGGTGGCGCTATTGCACCATTTAAAAAATACAAGCTTGTTTTATTTTTCTCCCCAGCTTTTTGAGATACAATTGACTTGTAATATTGTTTAAGGTTTACAACATGTTCATTTGATATACTTATATACTGTAAAATTATTACCACAGTAGAGTTAACTGTCATTTCTTTTTTTGTGGTGACATTTAACATTTATCCTCTTTGCAGCTTTCAAATATATATTGACAGTATTGTTAACTAAAGTCATCAGGTACAGTGGGTCTTCAGAACATATTCATTTTATAACTACGCTCCCCAGCCCCTGGTGACCAACATGCTACTCAGTTTTTATGAGTTCAAACTAGCACTGAGTTCTTTTGTTATAGATAACAGCCTTGGAGTGTTAAAATTCAGTGGGACGTGATGAGCTTTTTTTTTTTTTTGAGGTATAACTGGCATACAACATCATACTACTTTCAGGCGTAGGACATAATGATTCAGTATTTGTATCTGTTGTGAAATGATCACTATAGTAAGTACTTAACATCTGTCACCATAAAGTTACAGAATTCTTTTGTGACGAGAACTTTAAAGATCTACTCTCATAGCAACTTTCAACTATACAATACAGTATTATTAACTGTAGACACCATACTATACATTATGTCCCTAGGATGTATTTTTAACTGGAAGTTTGTACCTTTTGACCCTCTTCACCCATGACCAGCCTTTTATTTAAAAAACAAAACAAAACAGAAAATATGGGTGTGCATCCCTTTTAGTAAAGTGTTGTTATATATTTGTTTCAGTTATACACAAAAGCACACACACATATGCACTGGTTGTGACATTTCCTCATGTGTTTCTTGTGGGCTGTAGTAAAACAAACAAACATGGAAACCAGTAGTATTAGAAAATGTTTTTAAATCATGCAATTACAATGGAAAGAGAGCTTGAAAAATTATTGACTCTAGGGTTTTTTGTTTTTTTGTCACATAACATATCAGTTTTCTTTTTTAAAACTGTGCACAGAGAGACTACAGCACTCTTGAGTAGACTTTGATTCCAGTGTTTATCATGTGCATTGTCCTCAAATGTTTCTATGTTTATACTACCTAACCTCAAGGATGCAACACTGAATTGAGGAACGAGGGAAAACCTTAAAGGTAATGGCTCAAAAAATGGTTTTCCTACAAATTTTAAATTTTAAAAATTCCTACAAAACATTATATTAGTTCTCAGTTAAGAGCTCTCAGAATTATGTTAGTTTGGCATACACTGATCAACAACTATACTATTTTAATACAAAATAAAATTAACAGGGCTATGTTCTTTAATTAATAGACTACTATCACAACATATTAAGGAATTTAAATGAACCGACAGGATAGACAGAAGTGCCAGTGTGGATGTAAATATCTAGGAAATTAAACATCTTGTTCTCTAGTTTACTACAATTTTATAAGGGCTGTGATTTGGACTTGCACTCAATCATTTTTTTTTTTTTTTTAGAAAAAAAATTTTCAAGATAACAAGTAGAATTATTGAAATAATTTCCAAGCCTGGCTCTGCACTGGAATCAATTGTGTGTTTTTCAAAAAGGTTTCTAAGATCCAGACTTTAATGACTCAAAATCTCTGCAAATAGGGCTCTATAATAATCTGCATTTCATGAAAGCTCCCCAAGTGACCCTGATACATAAACAGGTCTGGGAAGCAACTACAACACCATTTTATGAACAAGGTTTATTACAAAACAGAGAAGACAAGAAATAGGTTAGCAATTTAGAAATTAACCACAGCAACAAGCTATGTGTCTCAGGAAAAATCATCTACTAGTGGCTCACCTCTTCATACTTACTGTGACATATCAATAAAATCCAGAAAGTCTCATTTGAAATGTTTTCACCCCAGTCATCTCAATCGTCACCTCTCTGAATCACCAGCATGGTCATGTAGATCAGTTAATCCCCCAAGGCTAACAGTGACCTAGACTTATTTACAAAGTTGGACTATTCTACAAAGGACTTTTCTCTTGAGATTTGCTTATCTTTGCACCTGCACTTACATGGCAGAGCTCCAACCTGTTGATCTCAAAAGCAAAATTCCTTTTCTATTTGACTTTGTCTGAAAGGGGGCTAGTTAGGCCAGCTGCTAAGAAAGCAGATTCGAAGTATTAATTATGTTAATGACTATAATTTAAAAATAACACCCACTTCACTTATACACATACCCTAAGGTGATCATCACAAACTGCTCACTTTTACAGAGCTTAAAACGGCGTGTGCTTAGTCGCTCAGTCGTGTCCGACTCTTTGCGGCCCCATGGACTGTAGCCCGCCAGGCTGTCTGTCCATGGGGATTCTCCAGGCAAGAATACTGGAGTGGGTTGCCATGCCCTCCTCCAAGAGATCTTCAAACAGGTACAGATTAGTGGGAAAAAAAAAAAACCTCTGAAAAATCCTTCATCCTTCCTGAGAACGTAAGTACCACATATACCTGGAAACTGTTGGACCTCTATCCCTAGTTTAAGGTTCCTTCCAGGGCTGAGAACTATTAGTACTCAAAGGGCCAACCCGCTAAGTATGTGACCTTGTTCCAGGAACGTGAATGAGGAGGCTTCCTTATCACATGACAACCTGACCCTGCCTGGCAACCCCCTCACGATGATTAAATTTTAAATGGTGCCTTCTTTAATGAAACACCCTTGTGACGGTAGGCAAACACTTCCCAAGGGCCGAGTCTACTCGGGTTTTGAGTGTTTATTTTGTTGGCTTTGGGTGTTCAAATCTCTGATTATCCTTAAGACACTTCAGATGACAAGCTCCCTTCCACCTGAAACAACTCCAATTTTGCTCTCACCACTTAAAAAGTGACTCATGACATTTTAAAAAAGCAAACAGTAAAAAAAAAAAAAAAAAAAAAAGAAGCAAAGAGTAGCTGCCTGAGTCTCAGAAGAAATGCGCAACAGGTCTTGTTTCTCTAATCAAGAGAGATTTTTATTGGCTGAATTGACCTCGGAGTCAAAGGCTGAGTGGTGACTGAACCAGGTGTAAATTCTGTGAGACTACAGTTCTCGAAAAGGAGGTTTTAACAAACTTCCTGTTACTTCAACCTCGCCTCCTTCCACAAAAGGATTTGAGGGAAATAACCAAATAAACTCATGTCAGAACCACAGGGTGGGATGTTATCAACAATTTTAAAAGAAAACACAAGTAGTATCAACATTCCCTTAAATCAGTGCTACTTAAAGTGTGTTGTAGGCACCTGCAGCCACTGGTGCCCCCTGGGAGCGTATGAGAAATGCAGAACCCCAGGCCTCAGGCCAGACCCCGTGAGTCGGATTCTGCTTTTTAACTAGATTTCCAGGTGATCCCTAAGCACCAGCTTAACCAGAGTCCAGAGTCAGCTTTACTCGGATCTGCTACTTTTGTCTCCTAAGATCATTTATGAAAAGAAGGCCCCTCCCTCCCCCACTCAAGTCTTTAAACCAAATATTAAGCCTTATAGAAAACGCATCATTAAGAAATTTATTTTTCTTTTTGGATGGATTTTTGTTTTAAATTGGAGTATAACTGCTTTACAATGTTGTGTTTCTGTCGTACAACAACATGAATCAGCTATAACTATACATATAGCCCCTCCTTTCTGAGCCTCCCTCAAGAAATTTACTTTAAAAGCCCAGGTCTGAGAGTTCCAACCCTGAGAGTTGAATAAGTTTGTCTGTAATGGAGCCTAGGTGAGAGAATTTCTTTTTTAACACATCTAAGTAATTCTGAGTGCATCCACGTAAGAAACACAGACATTGAGTATTTTTTCTCTACACAGCTGCTTGTCGATGCAGCGTTGTTACCAGTCAACTTACACTACAGAGAGTCTCAATTTACAGTGGTTTCTCAAGCAGGCATGAGACTCACGCGATGGGCTTGCTCCAATACAGATCATGGAGCCCCATAGCCAGTTCCTGAGTCAGCAGGCCTGAGTCAGTTAAGTGGGGCCTCAACGGACATTTCTAGCAAGTTCCCAGTTGGTAGAGATGCTACAAGGCAGGAGACCATGCTTGGGACCACAGGTATTATATCTGCCACAGAGACCTACCAGAAAAACCAGCACTGAAGCCTCTGTTTACTCGTGTGACTGGCTGGTTTTTAAGAATGGGAGCATTTAGGAGCACCTATTAGTTGCTTAGTAATTCTCTGATGACCGATGACAATCCCCAAACCATCTACCTATTAAAACTAAAATACTGCAGCTACCTGGCTGCTAGCATAATGTTTTTTTTTTACAAACGACACTCAGGTCAAATAAACATCTCACTCACCAAACCCCAGAGAGCACCAGGAGAGGTAGCAGTGATTGTCGCGGCCCTGGGTGTGTTGTACATTAAGGCCAGCTCGCCAAAACTCCCACGATTGTCATAGTTGCCAACACACCGTCCAACACCATCGCATTTCACATAAATATCAAATGTTCCTCTGGTGGATGCATGAAAAAGAAGACGTAACAGTAATTCAAGTCAAGTCTCAACACAACAAAACATGAGCCTTTGGCAACAAAATCTTTTTTTTTTTTTTTAAGAATTACTTATTGCTTGGTCTTCTTGCTCAGAAATCATAACACATTCACTTGATTAAAATTTTAAATGTCTAGAAGGATGAACAGTGGGAAGTTCCCTTCTGCCCTGGTCCAGCCATTCAGTTTCTCCAAAAAAGCCACTGCCCCCAGCTTCTACATCCTTGCAGAGGTCTTTACACCCGGGAGCAGTGGGAGCTGGGTGAATGCACTGGAAGCCTTCCAAAGGTGCAGAATTAACAAGAGCCGTCCCTGAGACTGAGGGCACATCCCCAAGGGTGACAGCTGGGGACGGGCTCTTACTTTCCTTTCCTCTCTGATGACAAACAGTAATAAAAGGGCAGCAATACATGACAAAGACACCGCCTGTTCCGGGCAAGCAGGAAGAAGAGACCATCAGTGGGACTAGGGTAAAGTCTGTACATGATAAAAAAATAAGGGCTGAAAATATAACTGCAACCAAAGAGAACAGGCAAAGAAAACCATCTGAAGGAATGCATATGAATCTGCTGACCTCAATGAGCTCTGAGTTTAAGAATCATGGAGGCTAGCAACCTTCACTATGTAACTGAAAAGTTTTTGTTTCCAAAACTAACATGCATTTCTTTTGAGATCAGAAGAAAACAATCTTAAAAAAGAATATAGCTCTAACAATCTGGTCAGCCATTACTGTACAGTACCTACGGGGTCCTTTATGATCTAAAGGGGGGGCTGGCAAGCTGGGGCCCAAGACTGGTTGCCTGCTGCTGTAAATCAAGCTTCACTGGAAAGACAAACACGCTGGCTGTTTCCGCACTCTCTGTAGCTGACCTGTGCCACGAGAGCAGACGTGAGTAGTGGCAACATAGACCTTATGGCCTGCAAAGTCTGCAAAATTTATTCTCTGGCACTTTATATCATCTGGCCCTGTATGTTAGACTGACTGCCATCTAAAGGTGGTAGAAATTTAGACTAAATATCTGATCCTGGTCTTCTAGATTTTTTGTGCTTATCTTTTAATTGGGTTCCTTTTTCTAGCAAATAAAATGCTGTTTGCCTGTCACTGCACTCCAGATCCTTTATTTCTATTAACTTCATTCTCTCTGTGGAAGACTGTCTTTTCATGTATTGTATCTGGTCAGGGAACATGGCTTCAAGGATTGCTGAAACACTTGTGAGGTCAGACAGGAGAAATTCTTTGGCTTTATTCTATTGGCTAAAGTCTAGCAAAGACAAAACAGGGAATGCTTTTAAGATTAGGAAAAGATTAGAGATGGTAAAGCTGCAACAAAAGCAAACACATGAGGTATTGGACAAAAGATATTCAAGAATAAGAATAACTGGTTTTTAATATAATTCATGACTAGAATGGCAGTTTCAGGGATTCCTTCTAGAACTTGTCTCATGGACAGTCATTTTTCAAGTATAGATTAATTTTTATATTTATACATTTGCACTAAAGCCATATTCTACATTTTTCTACTTTGAGTAGGATAAAATATACAACAAATGTGCTGATGAGAAGTGCAGTGAGCTACCAGTCCTGTTAAAATCACATCAGTCTAAAAATCGGCTAAAACACCATGTGCTGCTTTTCCTATAGATTTCTCCCCTGAGAACATGCGGCCTCAGGCAGTGCAGCGTCACAGAAAGGGCACGCACGGTGGCCGAGAGAGATGCGGGTGCTGGGTCGGCCCACACTCATCTGCGAGACCTTCCAGACTCGCATCACTTTTGTGTGCCTGAGAATTTTTGTCTGTCTAAAGGGTGATGGGGCACTGAGGGAAGGCACTATGCACTAATGTAAGGAGGTTTTAGAGTCAAATACCAACTAAACCAAAGTGATTCCTGTATGGTCTTTGGGGTTCTCATATACTCCTACTATTCAATACAATTAAACAGCAGAGTGAATTTCTGAGGTGTTTCATTGATGAAAGCTGCTAATGGTACCAGAATCATGACTTTGATTTACATGTGAGACCATTCTAAAACCACAGAGTCCCCCTCCAGCCCTACAGGTCACCGGAGTCTAAGGGATGAGGGGCTGAAGGATCCACAGAGCATGCGGTACTGATGCATGAAGGTACCTCCCACGGCCCAGAGCGGGGAGCAGAGCCTACACAGACCGGGGCGGGGGACACACTTCCTGTGAAGCCTCTGAGTGGAACACAGCGGGGCCCAGAGAAGCCAACGTAACCCAGCAAATGAGACTGGGAGGTGATCCGTGTTCTACACGAAGGGGAGAGGCTAAGGATTCCAAACACCTCATCAGCACTTCCTCACTGCTTAACAGAAGTGGAGAAACGAAGGCTCGGCCCAGGCTGCTCTCCTTTAATATTTTAGGGTTGTTACCCAAGTTTTGCTTAAAACACGCACTGTTCTTAGATGAAGTGAAACCCAACTTCAGTTTTCTGAAATTGTATTTTCAATATAAATACAAACCTTCTCACTTAAATAATTTCTCTGTAGAGTTTTTAACAGACAAATAGAATAATGCATAAACAACTTCTGGAAGGACACACAGACTACTCACTCTGCTGATGAGATGATGCTAAGGCAGTAGGAAAAGAGGCTACCTTTTCACCTTAGGTCCCTCTGAATTTGAATTTTTTAAACCATGACCATGCTTCACTTCATTAAGCAACAATAAAGGAAACTTTTTAGAAAACACAATAACAGGTTGAGTTACATGGATGCAATATCCCAGATGCTGTGTCACACTGCTGTTTTCATGTTAACAAGAGTATCCAATTCTGTGACAGGTGTAACTAGCCCTCAAGTAAACTTAACAAATGAGGAAGCTCCCAGTAAATGACTGAGATTTATTGATTCACCAAAAGTCAACAGTCATCCATACACTACATTATACCTCTTTCCTTGATCTAGCACAGTTTCACTGAACGAGTTCAAAGCAGGTTTATAGGCCCAGTTACATAGGAATAAGGATAGACAGGCAATAGCAATTATTGTATGTTAATCCGTCAGTCATTATAACACATTGAGATTTTCACAAAAGGTTCATTACATTTTAGGAGCAAAGTTACACAAAACTTACCTATCAATTACATAAAAGTTGTCGCCATCATCACCTTGATCAATTACATGTTCCCCTTCTTTAACCAATTTTTCAAACATGGCATCTAATACTTGAGACATCTGCTCCTATTTTTCAAAAATAAAAGACATAATCTTTGGTATCTAGAACATGTTTTCTTAAAGAACCACAATTAGCTCTATATTTTTGTAAACAAGCTCAAAGAAATGGAAATATCATGACTGCTATGATACGGAACAGTCCCCTCCTCACCACATACAAACCAGATGATTCTATATTTACTCTCATATATTCAGTACCTGAATAAAAGTAATTATAATTTGTCTATTTCAGAATCTTTGCAACAATCACCACTTTAATACAAAAGGAAACTAACCATCAAATCATCATATACCTTGTAAAATATAACCTTAGCAACCAAAATTATCAGGTTAATAAAGAACTATTGCAAATGCCTTTTAAAGATATCTAAACTTTAAAAAACCTTTCCTATTTTAATCATCATTGTAATTTATAAATATTTAGCTAATTTAAACCCTGATGCCAATGCTTCTTGGTTTAGCACCAAAACCAATATAGAACCAAAAAAAACCCAAAAGTAAAGCCAAAAATGATTGCAGCAAACATTCCATCCATGTCCTTTATCACTAAGGTTCTCTTCAAGAAGCAACCATGTCCCTCCCTAGGACAGATATATTAAAACTGAAGCCAGAGACATCAAACCTATCAGTCAACAACTATCTTGAAACTTTGTTCTTCTAAAGTGTGCTTGACAAGGGTTAAGGATAAACTCTGGATAGTGAGAATAAACTAGAAGGCCAAAGAAATCTTTCTTCAGAACAAGTCCTGGGACAATTCAAAGGTCTTTGGGTAGTTAGAACAAATGCGTATGGAGCAACAGTGTGGTGATAGTAACAGAAAATTCAGAAGACATAGGAAGGTTTTAAGTCACTCTCTATGGATATAAAAAGACAGCAATTCCAGCCTCCCAGGCCAAAATTAACTATTACTATAAACAAATAAGGATCTGAAGAAAGATTAGAGGGGGGTGGAGATGCAAGTGGAAAACACAGGTTGAAGAAACAAAATATTCTGGATCAAAAGCACAGACTACGTGTGATTCTCTTCTTGAGAGAGTCTCTTCTTGAGACCCCATTAATATTTCACAGGGACCATGAAGGTACGACTCCACAAAGACGAGAACAGCAAGAGGACAACTGGAGGAGAGATTTCCAGGCAAAGAGAAGTTACATGAGGGCAGGGAGAGGGTGCCGCCCAGAGATGGGCAGGGGGCCTGCAGCGTGGAGGGGCCGCCCAGCTGTCGGAGCACCAGAAGCTCCGGACTGGGAAACACCTGGCCTGCTCAGACTGGGACTGAGACACTGCTGAAAACAGAGGCATAGATTCCAAGTCTCCAGGATCAAATGTCTTCATCCTGAACATAGAACACTAGCAACCAAGTATTAATCCCAACTCTTCCCAGACAAGAGATCAGAGTCAGGCTCTCAGGAGAAACTAAATAAACAAGACAGAACTAGAACAGTTACTGTGAAGACTGGTGCCCTGGAACAAGGACCTTCACCTGCTTGGATGAGGGGTTCCTCCACGTGAACAGCTGGCTCCTTGCCATCCATCCAGCAGGACACTGATGGACAGGCCTGCCCTATTTACTCAGGGGTCCTCGTCAGCTTTGCAGAGCCCCTCTGTGAGCCTACAAGACTAAGATAAACAGCGGGAAAACACCAATGAGCTAGAAAACTCAAGAACAGTGATGAGCTTTCAGAAAGTTTTACTCTATATACCCAGAGATGTTCAAGATGATGTCATAATCATGAGATGAAAAACAGGATGATTAGAAAAAGTGCAAGAGAAAAATGGGCAAGCTCAAAATTGAAAACATCACTACCAAATTTTTTTTCCTTTCAACTATTTTATCTTTTAGGTTCACAGCAAAATGGAGCAAAAAAGTATAAAGAATTGTCCTAAACCCGCTGCTTCCCCATGCCTCTCCTCTATTAACATGCCCCAGAAGAGGGTACGCTTATTACAAGTGATAAACGCACAATGACATCAATAACACTCAAAGTCCACAGCTGACATCAGGTTCACTCTTGGTGCTATACACTCAGTGGTTTAAACAAAGGTACCCACAAAGGTAAAAATGTACCCACCACTACAGAATCTGCTGTAAGTAAATAAAGAACTAAGAAGGTAAATTAAAATAAAAAACTTCAAAGAAAGTCGATAGATGAAAAGATAGGAGTCAGGAACAAAGTGATATCAGAGACAACAAATGAAAGAAAATAATTAGGACAGTGAGGAATCAATTTTCCAGTACCAAAGGATGTAAGTTTTCAGACTGAAAGGGCTCACTCATGGGCCAGCACCTCCACACTCACACGACAGTGTAGCTTTAGGACATCAAAGATCCAGAACCGACTGCAAGGCTTCCAGAAAAAGAGGAAGGAACTCTTAAAAATATTAAAAAATGTTCGACTTCTCTCAGAGGAATGCAAATTAAAATGGAAAGGAGACACTCTTTTTTACCTGTTAGATTCAGAAACATAAAAATGTTAGACTGCTGGAGATGGTGCGGGCAGGAGGAGTCCTCCTGAAGATGGTTGATGGAACAGGCCTCTAAGGAAGTGCGGCAACAGTCAATAACACTTTGAAGGTGGTCCTGTCACCTCTCATTCCTCGTCTAGGATGTTATTCTATGCACATTTTTGAAATGACATGTGCACAGGCATTTTTTCATTGCAAAATGTGCATCATAAGAGCAAAGAATTGAAAAAGCAAATTTATCTTAAGGCTCTGGATAAATAAGTTTGGTATATCCATATATCAGAAAGCTATGCAGCTAATAAAAAAAGAACATGAGGCTTTTAAGATCCCTGTCTTTTGCTGGAGTTGCTGACAAGCATGAGAACACTCAATGAAGGGCAACCAGAAGTCTGAAACCCTGCCCTAGGTGGAACTCCAGTGAACACACCTGCTATCTGCTGTCACACTGATCATGTGCATGATTCCAGAGGCCGGAACTGGTATGGCTGGGTAGACGTTTCTGGAGATTTGGGAACAATGTGAAGACCTGCCTAAGGAGGAGAGCTGTCTAGCGGTGATGGAGCAAAGACATGAGTTCCCTGCTCCTGTCAAGGCAGGCTCCCCACCTTATACATGCTCTCAAAAGGGCTCAGTGTTTTTCAAACTTTACTGGAATCCAGGACTTTGTAGAGGTGCTTCAGGGATCAGTTCTGTAAACAGCTCTTTTTTAATCATTTTTAAAATATTGAAACACAGCTCATTTACAGTGTGGTGTTTGTTTCAGGTGTATAGCAAAGTGATTCAGGTATACATATATATTTCAGATTTTTTTCCCTCATAGGTTATTACCAGATATTGAATATAGTTCCCTGTCCTATATAGTAGCTCCTACTTGATTATCTGTTATATATAATAATATGTATTATACATCTTAACCCCAAACTCATCCTTAAAGTGTATTCTAACCATTAAATATTAAAACTAAAGTAAATGAACACGTTCAGATGGCTATATACATTAACACAAAATTTTTTATAAACTGAAATTTCACATAACATAAAATTAACCATTTAAAAGTGAACATGTTAGTAGCCATAAAGTTGTGCAACCACCATCTGTATTTGGTTCCCAAACATTTTCATCACCCTGAAAGGAAACCCTGTGTCCCTTAAGCAGTCAGTTCCCATTTTTTTCTCCTACTAGGCCCTGGCAACTACCAACCTGCTTTCTGTCTCTTTTGGATATTTCATATGATGGGGCTTTTTTTGTGGCTCAGACAGCAAAGAATCTGCCTGAAATGCAGGAGACCCAGGTTTGATCCTTGAGTTGGGAAGATCCCCTGGAGAAGGGAATGGCTACCCACTCCGGTATTCTTGCCTTGGAAATTCCATGGACAGAGGAGCCTGGTGGGCTACAGTCCACAGGGTCACAGAGAGTCAGACACACACTGGAATCACACAGTATGTGACTTTTAGTGACTGGCTTACCTTACTCATTATAAGGTTTTTGAAGTTCATCTATGTTGTAGCATATATCCTTGTTGTTTAGTCACTAAGTTGTATCTGACTCTTTACAACCCCATGGACTGGTAGCCCTACCAGGCTCCTCGGTCCGTGGGACTTCCCAGGCAAGAATACTGGAGTGGGTTGCCATTTCCTTCTCCAGGGGATCTTCTTGACCAGGGATTGAACCCACATCTTGTTGGCAGGTGGTTCTTTACCACTGAGCCACCAGGGAAGCTTCATTCCTTTTCATGGATGAATAATATTCCACTTTATATATGTATATAAAGTGGAGTTTAGTAAAAATACATATATGTATATATATTACATGTAAATTTTGTTCTATGTATATATATATGCGCACACACGCACACACCACAAATTACTTTTCTATTCATCTTCAGTGGGCATTCAGGTTACTTCCACCTTTTGACAATTGTGAACAGTGTGACTATGAACAATCATATACAACTATTTGTTGGAACAGCTTTTTCAGTTCTTCTGGATTTAAACCTAGGAGTGAAACTGCTGAGTCATATGGTAATTCTGTGTTTAACTCTGAAAAGCCATCAACCTATTTTCCACAGTGCCTGAACTATTTTACTTTACCACCAGCAATGTACTAGGTTCTGATTTCTCCACATCGTCATCAACACCTGTTATTTCCCTTTTTTTAAAAACTTATACCATCCTAGAGAGGGTGAAGTGGTATTTCATTGTGGTTCTGACCTGTATTTTCACTTGTGACTAACCATTTTAAGAATCTTTTCATGTGCTTATTGGTTATTTGTATGTTATCTTTGGAGAAAAGTCTATTTAAGAACTCCACACATTTTTAAGTTAAACCTGTCTGTCTTTTTGTTGTTGAGCTACTAGTTCTTTCCATATTCTAGATGTAAGGCCCTTATCATTTATATATGATACAAATACACACACACACACATATATATATATTTGTGGTGTATGTGTGTATGTACACATGATTTGCAAATACTCCATTCTGTACATTGTCTTTTTACTTTAGTGCATGATGTCTTTTGATGTACAAAATTTGCTACCTT